TAATGTAGAATAGTTCGAGGTCAACTCAAATATCGAGTTCTCAAGTGTGGTTCTTTCGAGCATGTCTGGGATATACTGATATATATATTGTTACAATGTTCAGGGCATTATGCGATTGAAAATATAGTTATTAAGACCTTTGTCTTTGTCTTTTTCTTCTGACAGAAGCTAAAATACAAATACACACAGAAAGTATATCTTCATCTACATGTAGAACAAAATTAAGACAAGTAGCTACATATGATACAGAATTCGGCCACATCGTTGGACGCATGAGTTTGAGCTAGGCTCGAAGACAAGAGGCCCGAGTTGGACATCTGACATCTGTAAGGGGGATCAAGTTGGATCTCAATCAGAGTATACCACTTGGTGTACGCTCTTGGTTCACACCAGGTCCGAGAAGGTTGGTATGCACAAATCAGAAGAGACTGGTGGTGACCCAATCTGCAAAAGAAAACCCGAACCCAGTAAAAAGAAAGCCCCATAGCAGAAGAAGAACAAACATCCGAGTGTGTACTCTGTATGAACCAACAGCCTAGTCCCTGGACAAGACATAGACATGGGACCACGGGTTGCCAATTATCGCACAGCGACAAGACCTGAGCTGCACAGTCGGACATGAGTTTGAACGGCTTGCTAGAGCAGAGGTGATTGACCAAGAAAAAGATGACCTGACGAGCCATCTCTTCATCCTTCATCTGCCTCGACAGCAAACAGAATCTTCAACCAGAGACTGCACCCGCGACACCCAATAATGATCTCGCCATGCTCAGCCTCCCTCTCCAAATCATCCTCATGGACCAAGAACCCGCGCTCATCACCGCACCGACATCCGCGATACCAGCAGTCGCCATCGCCGCCTTCCGCTTCCTCAGAGGCCAGATCCTCCAAATCCACAATCTCTAAGCCGGTATGGAAGACATCGCCGGTCTTTTCCCGTTCCGCAACCTTCTGCCTATCCAAACGCAGAGAGTGGTTATATTCCGCACGGAGGACGGGGTCTGATAGGGTCTTGTAGGCGGTGGTGATCTGGTCGATGGTATACAGTTGTCGCGACGAGTTGCTATTGGATTTGGCAAAGAGAGGGTTCGGAGTAGACGTGGATGTAGAGTCGGTCGAGCCGCCTAGCCCGGTCTCCCTTGCGACAGCGCCCGCCTTGTCAGGGTGGTGTTTCAGCAATGCTTTATGGTATGCGATCTTAATTTGCTGCTTGGAGAGGACTGTTGACGAAGACGCCGTGAACGGCAGAGACAGGATCTCATAGAGATCCATAGCATGCGCAGTCCTCGTCATGTCGATGAAATGTATTTTTCTTTCTGTTTAGGTCGTATCTCGCTGGTTTCGTTGGTTCGTGTGCGGTGCCGAGTCCTCGAGCGACCAGTCGGAGGTGCGCACCAGACTGTAAGAGTGACTCCTCGAAGTCTAACGGAGAGACACAACCTTGCGCATCCCAGGGAATTATGAAAATCTGGGGTAGCAGGGTGCTGCAAAGCGGGGTTGGTGAGCTTTGTTGCTGAGAGGTTTGAGGATTCGAAAATGGCGGGTCGCCCTTGCACGCCACTTTGGGATAAGGCCTTCCGGGGCCATACCTGTTGAAGTTAAGTGTCGGCACCCTTTCTCTCTTTTGTTTTCTCGATGCCTGATGATGAATGTATATTTTTTACATCCTAGGGTATTCTATATATGCAATACATTTCTGCCAAACTTCACCCGATGTCCCTATGTTAACCACCTTGATGCTACATCCTATTCAAAGCTATACCTACATGCCGTGAGCACAGGACTGTTCATGAAAACATGGAAGTAAGTCTAAAAATCCATTGACAACCAAAAAACAGAATCTTAGTGAGTAATAACTCGGATATCAAGACAGGTAAATGAAAGGAGATGGGAATCTAATGCACTTTTTGAGCAATCTCCCTACTCAGAACCAGAAGTCTTGAAGACAAAGCGCTCATCAGTCTTGAAGGGCACACCGAGCTCAAGGAGCTTGACAAATACATCAGAGAACTCCTTGAAGAAGACATCGCTGTCCTTGGCATAGCGCTCAACGTGCTTCTTGAAGCCCTTATCCTTGACAAGAGCCATGTCAGTGGGCAACATCATGAGAGTACCAGTGGTCTTGTCAGTGAACTGAGTTGGTCCATTCCACTTCTTCTGGACCCACTTCTCCTCAGCAAGGAGGCGGAAGAACTCATTGGTGAAAACAGTAGGGCTGAAGTTCCAGGGGCCGTCGAAGCCGGAACGATCGGTGTGGCAGCGGCCCAGGGCATGGGCGCCGATCAGTGCAACCATCTCGCGGTCATCAAAGCCCATGCGGGAGAAGATATCGCGGATGTGACGCTGGTCCTTGGCGGCGTCAGGAAGACGGCCGTCGGGAGTGCAGGCAGCGACGTCCCTGTCCTCACGGCCGGGCCTCCAGGGGATGGTAGGACCACTCAGCTCCTGGATGGCGCAGGCACCACCGAGAGTCCACAGATCGGAGTAACTGATCCAAGGGAACTGAGCCTTGATGGGCTCGAGGAAATCACGCGCAGTCTTGAGACCGGCGTTGGCGCCATGATCGGACTCTGGGGCGAATCTCATAGTGGCGCCGTTGCTGCCTCCAGTGCCGGTCTCCTTGTCATAGGTACCACTTGCGTGCCATGCGAGACGAACAAGGACCTATTGAGAACAAAAACGTCTATGTTAGCTCTTTGACCTTGGATTGCAACATCGACGAGAGCTTAAGTGACTGCACTTACAGGACCATAGCTACCGTCGTCATAGTCGGTCTCATCAGCTAGACGGCTAGCGATAGCGTCGTACACCTTCTGGTAATCGGCCTTGGTGGGGACGAAGGGCCCCTTGGGGGTAGCCTCGCCGTTCAGGTAGAGGTATGCTCCACCAGCACCAAGGGCACCGAGACCAAGAGCCCAGAGGCCAAAGGATGAGCCAGACTTCTCGGAGCCAGCTTCTGAAGCATATCCACGACGACCAGAGGCGCGGAGACCATTGGCGGGGATGGCGAAACGGGTGCTGCGAGCAGCAGGACGGAAAGAGGAGGTCGGGGTTGAGCGCAGGAAGGCCCGGGAAGCAGATCTAGCAGCCGAAGCCATTGTGATAGGGTAAAGAGGGTGTGAGACAAGAAGTCTTGAGTTTTAGGGAAAGTCAAGGTGGGAGTACAAGAGAGAAGGGAGGAACCGGGGGGATTTGTACTTCTCCTGTCCCATTTTCTAATGCAGTACAACCCTGAGCCAATACTTCGGTACATCGTACAGAAGCTGATGGAACCCACAGCCAATCAAGGGGGTCACATATGTTATTGCCTCGGCGTTTTCGTCTCATCTCCGCATTCCGGTACCATTGCTGTACATCCCCCAGATTTTGACTTCTGTCAACTGTCTTCTTTTTTTGTCTCTAAATATAATTCCATGAGATCGTACTCATTGAACTGACGGTATAGACTGACAGAAGCATGAGTGGAAAGATCATAGGTATTTCTGGAGAGGTATTATTAACATCCAAGCGCTGTTTGGTCAATATTGACCCACTCTCCGATCCGACAATGCTTACCTGATCAGAGTCAGGCTCAGTAATAATCAAAGGTCTAGATAGACCGTTACTTGGGTATACTGCATCTATATTATTCAGACGTCAAACTATTAATGAGTTCCAGATCTCTTGGCGAAATTGGACCTTTTTAATGGCGATCTTATTACCCATGGTTACTACCTAGGTAGCCATATGATTACTTTATCCATGATAGTACATCGCCATGCCCTATATGATTCATCAGACCCTGGCCAATTCTGCATGTGTCAATGTATCAATTACTGCTCTTACCAGAATAGGACTTGCGCAGCGTGGAGGAAATTAATATGTTGTACACTTACGGAGTACGTGGTTCTTATATGCAACAGATAGCAAGCACCTGATGCCCTACTTTCTTCTTTCAAGAGCCTAACCGGCCCTTATATTGTTTCACAAAAATTAGACCCAATCAATAATACTCTTGGACTTTGGCATATAAAATAAAATGCGGAATAAAATTAAAGATATATTTTTGAATCATTAGTTTGGGATGTCCGTCGTAAAAAAGTCCTGCTGTTCAATAGATATGAACACCAGGGTGGAGTAGACGCAGCTCTGCTAAAAACTGTTTGGTTTTGATATTCCACGAACGAACGATTAAAAAATCACCCAAGAGACGGTAATGCCACAGGTAGGCACCACGCGGGTTATGTGGTTTGAAGTTTACATATCTGAATGTTGGATTCAAGTCAACAATCCCCGACATTAAAGGATTGGATTCTCAAGTCTCCAACACACGAATGGTTGAAGAAGAAGAAAATGTGTGAAGTGAAAAAGTTTTTATCTTAATCGGAATGGCACGTGATTTGACTAGCGCCATCACATGACCTGGCCTTTTTGTATCGAAAATTTCCGCGCAGATTGGGAACTTTTCTTCTTTACACTTATTCGAACGCATAATCAACCGCCAATTCCTCGTTCATAGGATGGTTGGTCATATTGGCGTACTAGAAGATATTGGGTATCATTATGACTTCTCGACGGCTCCGAAAAGGCTTCGGCCTTTAGGCGCATTGGTAGATGCGAGTCATTGCTGTCCGGACATGCCATTTTATATAATTTTTTTTCTATTAATAATCTACATCTGTGATTTTTTTTTCGGACGAACACCATATGAGAGCCTAGGCTCGGCTATAAATACCTTTTAGAAACATTCTAGAAGACCCTATATAAGACAACTATGCTGAAAGAAACACGGGACGATATACCATGTAGAAGTTCAACTCAACCTTGGAACTAAATTCTTTAAATCCTTATTGACTACTCCGTACCTCTATACTTCAATAGTGTACATGTATGTCTCATTTGGAATGATCTGCCCCTCGGACGTCAATCGAACTCTTCTCCGCCCCGGGAACCAGAATTCTTCCCCTATTCCACTTTCTTGTGCTGCCACTCCTTTGATTCATTTGTAATTATTTTGCATCATGCCTACCGGCATCAGCAAGCGCCAGCAGGCGCGGAATGAAAAGACCTTGACGGAGCTGATCCGGACCGTTCCTGGCAATGACCGATGTGCCGATTGCGATGCCTTGACCCCAGGTACGTCCCAAGAGATCTTTATTGTTGACCACACTAATTCTTATTTGAATAGGATGGGCAAGCTGGAATGTATGTCAATTCCTTTACCTTCGAACGAATCCACAAACTGACTGTTCGTCTCCGACAGATGGGCATCTTCCTTTGCATGCGTTGCGCCGCACTCCACCGCAAGCTGGGCACACATATTTCGAAGGTTAAATCTTTAACCATGGACACCTGGACATCAGAGCAAGTTGATGTGAGGATAATCCGGCACGCAATAGCAACCTTGGAAAGGTCACAAGCTGACAAAGTGGACTTTATCGCCTGGGCAGAACATGAAATCACACGGCAACATCCTTATGAACAAAATGAACAACCCGCGAGGTATCAGGCCGCCAATTCCCACAGACATTGACGAGGCCGATGCATGCATGGAACGGTTTATCCGGCAGAAATATCAGCACCGCTCGCTGGAAAACGGGAAGCCAAAGCCCCCGAGCAGGGAGGATTCGAGTTACTCCAACCATAGGGCTGTCTCCCCCGTGGAGTCAAGAAAGAATGACTATAACATGTCTCCGGAGGGTTCCCCTCCCCCACTTCCGCCCAAAGCTGGAAAGTTTTTCAAGTTTGGTCTACGGTCGTCATCCTCTACCTCGAACCTCCGTCGATTTGGTGGCAAGCCCAAAGTGACCTCGCCAACCTCGGACAGTGGAGCCTGGTCACCACCACCATTGCCATCTAGGAGGACTACAGGGCTTGGTGCGCCTGTCGCCGATGTGGCAATGGCGTCTTTTGAGTCTAAAATGGCGGCATTGCAGGATATGGGATTCACCAATGACCAACGAAATGAGATGGTGCTCAAGGGACTCCATGAGGATCTGGATCGAGCGGTCGAAACACTGGTCAGGTTGGGCGAGGGGCCCAACCCTCCATCAAGGTCCAGGACTCCGGTCGGGACCAGCACTGCTGCATCTGCACGCATAGTTATCTCGAAGCCCGAGCCGTCCAAAAACCCATTCCCGGTCACCACCGACAACACATTCCCTGAGGTTTCTAATAACCCATTTGACCGGGCAGTCTCAAACCCCGTGACACAGTCGCAAACCCAGCAACCACAGACCGCTTCGTACAACCCATTCGATCAGCTAAACCCGAAGCCGGCATCTACACAGCCTCTGGAATCATCTTTCCAGAATCTGCAGGTTTCCCAGCCCTTGTTCCCTCACTCTACTGGTGGATACCCGAACCAGACGAGTTCCATGCAGAACTCTGTATATCAACAGTCTTATACCCCGCCGATCACGTCGACATTCTCGCAGTCTCCCTATGTTACATCGCCTCAGCCAATGGACAACAGCTACAATCCATTCAACCAGGCACCGCCGCAGCAGCAGGGTGGCATGACCAGTCAGACGTATCCCAATCCCAATTCGCCAACAAATCCCTTCTTCAACAATACGCCGCAAAATCAACTCATGCAGCCGCAACAGCCGCAAACGAGCCCGTTAGTAAATAACTCAGGAGGCTCCGGGTTCCTCCGCGCAAATACCATGCCGGTCATGTCTTCCGCCTCGTCATTTGGACCAACTGCTTCTCTCCAACAGCAACAGCAGCAACAGCAGCAGCAGCAGCAGCAGCAGCCAACAAATGGCCTAGGAGCATACAACCCGTTCCAGCAAGGACTGACGCCAAACGCAGCACAGAACGCAGGCGGCTTAACCAGCCAATTCCAGTCTCACCTGCAACCCCATCAGGCGCAGCAGCTCATGCCTCAGCCCACTGGAATGGACAAAAACAGCATTCTTTCATTGTACAATATGGGGCCTTCGCAGTCTAATATGACATCCATTCCCGAACAACCCCAGCAATCTCAACAACAACAGCAACCTCAGCAATCCCAGCCACAACCCCAGAACCCCACTATGAATCCCTACTCTCAAACTCCAAACCCATACACCTCCATTCCTCAGACCCAGAAAGTCACAAACCCCCAGTATCAGAATCAGAGCCAGTCCCAGCCCCAGCAAAATTTCCAGCCCCAGCAACCTACCACCAACGCCCAGCCTGCCGCGGGAACATCTAACAATCCATTCTTCGGCACCGCCCCAGCAGGCAGCGGATCCGGCCTTGCTGCACAAGCAGGTATCAACCCATATCAGCAGCAATCCGCAGGGCTAGGAATTGGCGGTATGAACGGCCAACTCGGGGTCGGAACCGCCCCCGGAACTACTCCGGCCACGGGAACGAACAACTCCCCATTCTCGGGAATGAGCAGTCCGCCATTTGCCGGATCGAACAGCTCCCCATTTGCTGGAGGCCAGTCCCCTTTTTCAGGTCCGCCGCCCACGAACTCGGCATTCCAGCGGACGCACATGAGCCAGCCAAGCGTTGATGTGAGCGGGCTGCAGAAGGGTCGCCATAGCCCTGATGCCTTTGCTAGTCTGAGTGCTCGCTATGGTTAAGTCATATGACCTCGGCCTTGGATAATAAGTAGATAGATGGTCGAGCAATGTGAATATGGATATTGATATGGACATTCGTTTTGATTTTCGCTTTGTCCTTTACGCTGATCTCGATATAGAAGATTAACTAGACGTGTTATGGTTGTGCATGTCCGGCGCATTTTCATTGTCTGTTTGCCATTCCTTGAAATTTTTTGGTGTTTTATTTTTCTTTTCATTACATTCCCTGTCCATTTTCCTTTGTTCATTAAAGATTCCTTTGATTTCCGGAAAGCGAGTCAAAATAGTGCATTTTGAATGTACATATAGTTCTTGTTACATGAGTTTCGAACTGATAGTATATCATTGGTGAATCAAGACAGATTACCATACTGTACATAAATCTAGGGTTATATGTCCAAAGAAGTAAAAAGACAAAATGGAAATAAATAGTAAGGGAATGTAGAAGGCATGAAGCTGAAAGGGAGGGGAAGGAAAGTCCTTACAGCACCACATATATAAGGAAACTACACGACCAAAAAAGCCAGGAATCGGTGATCTCAAGACCACAACTCTGCTTCCGTAGGTCGCCTTTTAGCTCCGCCCAACCAAGTCGGCAACCCAGGAAGCCACTCTGATACCCAGGGAGGAAGCCAACCTGGCTTCTGCTTCCAAAATGACAACCTCGCTACAAATCTCTCCCAAGGAGTGAGGGGACGCCAAGGCCAATAAATTGACGATTTTGAAGGTGAGAAAAGAGACGCCACATAATTTCGCCATGACGTAAACAATGAAGGCGGCGATGCGGACCAAGGCATCGCAGAAACGTGAAGGCCCATCCATCCCTGCCCTTTTTGCTTGCGCCCCTCATTCTTGAACGATTCCACGATGCGATCAAATTGCTTATCTCGGCTTTGCTGCACGTGGCGTTGGGTCTCGGAGCGCCAGGCGTCCTGCTCTACCGTGTCCAGGCACCAGACTACGATGTCACCACGACGACGCCGGTCGTCGTGCCAGTCGGTGTTGAAGGTGCGCCAGCACTCGCCATAGTGGGAGCCGCGTAGCAGACTGTGGAGGGTTGGCTCAAGCTGAGCGAAGAAGATGAGGTAGTCGGGCCATTCATGTTGTGAGGCCTCGTTGGGGGTCTTTCCTGACGCAGAATGATATGCGGAAGAGGTGTAGCTGGGTCGGCGAGGGAGGTGGCGGAGACCACCAGCCATATTCTGGCGTAGGAATTGGAATGGGTCGTCGTAGAATTGATCTGCTTCGTCGCGGTAAAGGGCTTTCTGGGTTGCATTGAGGTCGATCGGTGGCTCGCAGGAAAGGGCCCAAGCGTTAATTGTCGGGTAGACTAGATGAGAGCGCCAAGGTGTGCTGTGGCAGGGCATCAAAAAGCCAGCAGAGATTCCGGTTTCGGAGGTGGAATTTGTTTGTCTTTTTGGTGTTGGTACCGAGTGTACTTGGTGCTGCTGACGGAGATATGAGACAACCTTCAACGTTCCTGATGCGTGATAGAGAGTCGTGTATAGTGCAATGACCACGTTGACAAGCACAAGAAAGATGAGAATCAGCCTGCGGGGAGCATGACGCGGGTAGGCCCGCGAGTAGATGGCTGGGTAAAAGAATTGCACTAAAGGCGGCGCAGCTAAGATGTGGAGGCATGGCAGCAATGGGTAGATGAAACGCACTTCCTTGTGAGATATTAAAGAGAGGACAGATGGCATCACAAGACAGACTGTCGCCAACTGCACTCGGATTGCCGCTTGCAAATTGTTTCCCACTGTGGAATTTCGAGTCGTCAAGGTTCTGTATAAACCCCAAACCGCAAAAGGCAGCATAGTGGTGAGTAGAAGGGGATAACCTTGCGAGACATAATAATGCCAATCATTGCTGCCATAGAAGACAGCCAGTGACTGCGCGATGTTGAAGTATAGGAACCTTAGCGGTGGGAATGTCCAAACTCCATAGAAGAGCCGGTCCGCAACGGAAGACACCGCGAGAAGTGCCGATCTATCGGATCAAAAGGTCAGCTGGTCCCTTATCATGAGGCCGGCGTACATACCCGCAAGCTATAACCTCAAAAATGAGAACCCTGCGTTGGGGCCAAGAGGTCCGAAGCCAAGCGAGGCCAGCCAGGGTTGCCCAAACGATAATGTTAGTCGGACGAAGTATACATGCGAGCGCCGCCAGCGGCAGACATTTGCGGAGGCTGTAAGCAGCGTCAGTGGCTGTTGTCATAAAGTTGGAGGTCCAGTCATACCCAAGAATCACACTTCGAGCCCGGTCCGTGCCCCTCGTTTGATTGCCAGTGTTTTTGTCGCGGCCACCGGCTGTAGAGCCTACCGACAATTGCCATGGCCATAGTTCCAATGCAACAATCGTTATTGTCGTCTCGAAGCAGTTTGACAGTGTCCTAGTTGAGCAGAACCATTGCCAGGGATTTAGAACGGTTGCGATCAACTGTAAGACAATTAGCACGCGCTCTTTCCTGTCAACACAGGGAAATTCTGAACACCCCACGTATAATCACATACCGTTGTCCATGACCCACGGGAATCATTTCCATAGACGCGAACTGCGAGCTTCCATGTGTATAAATCACCAATTGCCGCCACAACGGCCTGCGCTGTCTTCGGAGCGACAATCAGGAGCTCTGCGCGCGTTGCGGGAGACACGCTGAGGGTGGATGCGAGGAAGTCAGCGACTTTGTAGATAGCGGCAAAGAAGAGGGGATGTAGAGAGGATCGGAGTTGGTGCCGCCATTCCTAGGAGCGCGATATTGAGGTTAGCCAAAGCCACATGATGTGTCCACGCGATCGCATTCACTCACCCATGTCACCCAAGCTCCTTGGCCCTGTCCGAACGCGATCTGCCAGGCTGGCTCTAGTGACTGAAAGTATTCATCTGGCTGGAAAAATGTGCGAACCGCGAACGCATTGATGAGACGGAAGGCGACGAGGAAGAGGAGTATGTTTTGAGGGGCGGTTTGAGGCGCGCGGGGAGAAGTTCGTGTAGACATGATCAAGGGTAATAATATTGTGAATACTCATTCATCCCCGTGTACATTGCGAGAGGCTCAAGAAGGCTGGCCTCACAAAGTGCAGCATGAACAGACAAAGGAGAGGGCGGAAGATGTTCCTCTTGAACTCCGAGACTCGAACTACTCGAACTACTCGACCTAACATTCTTTAACATTTCAACTGTCTCCATTTTTGTGTTTTTTTTTTCTTTTTTCTTTGTCTGTGTTTCTTTGTTTTCAATTATAAAATACTTCTTTATTTCCCTATTTTCCAAAGGATTAAGTATATCTTTTCAGCTCCTTCAATAACCGAAGTATGACGTGAAATTCTACCCCGGTCTCTGATTTTAATTTCGACCAATTACGACCTTTTAACATGATCCTAGAGTATATATAGTTAATTAACGAATCAGAAATCGTGGTTATCAAAGCTAATGGAGCCTTGTAGGGTAATCCTGCGCATAGGGAACAGCGTCGGCACGACCTGTACTTAGCGGACATAGTCGGTCTAAGTCTAACACTTAACGGCATAGCGTACAGAAAAGAGAAAAAAATTCCCCTTATATAACACCTCTCTTTTCTTTCCAAGGTTGCTTTTTTTTACAATTTCTTTGATCTCAACTTCTTCTTTCTTTACCCCATTACCAAATACCCCAATCTCCAACTTTCCCCTCTCCCCGCAATCATGTCTACAGGACCTTTCTCCCACTACCATGCTGCCTCTTCTACTGAGGCGATTGAGTCCGAGAAGCAATATGCTGCTCATAACTATCACCCTCTCCCTGTTGTCTTTGCCCGGGCTCAGGGTACTTCGGTCTGGGACCCCGAAGGCCGTCACTACCTTGACTTCCTCTCTGCCTACTCCGCTGTGAACCAAGGCCACTGTCACCCCAAATTGATTGCTGCACTGGTAGACCAAGCTTCACGAGTAACACTGAGCTCCCGTGCATTCTACAATGATGTTTTCCCTCGCTTTGCCAAGTTCGTTACCGAATACTTTGGCTTCGACATGGTGATGCCCATGAACACTGGTGCCGAGGCTGTTGAGACAGGTATCAAGATCGCCCGCAAATGGGGATACAAGGTCAAGGGCATTCCGGAAGATAAAGCCGTTGTCTTGAGTGCAGAGAATAACTTCCATGGACGTACGGTAAGTGGATTGTAACCCCTCTCTGTTGCACCAGTGTACAGAATACATCAGTGGCTGATTATGACCCCTTGCATTAGTTCGCCGCCATTTCCCTATCTTCCGACCCCGAGTCACGCGAAAACTACGGTCCTTATCTGCCCGGTATCGGATGCACGATTCCAGGAACGGATAAGCCCATTGCCTACAACGATAAGGTAGCTCTGCGCGAGGCGTTCGAGGCAGCTGGCCCGAACCTGGCTGCTTTCCTCGTCGAGCCTATCCAGGGTGAGGCAGGCATTGTTGTCCCCGACCCAGATTACCTGCAGGAGGCCAGGGCACTCTGTGATAAGCACAATGTGTTGCTGATCTGCGACGAGATCCAAACCGGTATCGCGCGCACGGGTAAGCTGTTGTGCCACGAGTGGAGCGGAATCAAGCCCGATCTTGTCTTGCTCGGCAAAGCTATTTCGGGTGGTATGTACCCAGTTTCTTGCGTGTTAGGAAGCAAGGACGTCATGCTCACCGTGGAACCTGGTACCCATGGTTCGACCTACGGTGGAAACCCACTTGGCTGTGCTGTCGCTATTCGCGCACTCGAAGTCGTGCGCGAGGAGAACATGGTCGAGCGTGCGGAGAAGCTCGGTCACTTGTTCCGGGATGGGCTATTGGCTATCAAGAGCCCGCTCATCCAGACAGTGCGTGGAAAGGGTCTGCTCAATGCCATCGTTATTGATGAGTCGAAGACGAATGGACATACCGCTTGGGACTTGTGCATGCTGATGAAGGAAAAGGGTCTGCTGGTATGTATCCGAGTCCTTACTCGTGAAGTTTGTTTCGAAGATCGCTGACTCTTATGCTCTCCAGGCAAAACCCACCCACCAGAACATTATTCGCCTTGCTCCTCCGCTAGTCATTACAGAGGAAGAGATCCAAAAGGCCCTTGATATCATTAAGGAGGCCGTGACAGACCTCCCCAACCTCAAAGGCGCATCCGAGGATCAGGTCATCCCTCCCCCGGAGAAGAAGGTCAAGATTGATCTTGAGAACTAGATGCTCTATGAAGAGCGGGACCTGAAGTCCACATATCGCAGCGCAGATATCGCAGCGCAACCCAAAAAGCCGCGTGGGGGATCCACGACCCATAAGCCATGCATACTACCTGATATTCTTCAGATTCGGGCTGGCTACTCCGTATTTGGGATTCCCATTGGACACATAAGACCGGAATGCCCCTGCTGGCACCTTTCCAACTTTCTTGTTATCCCACGACGTGACGATGGAATGGCTTTCTTTCTTCTCTCACTTTTTTTTTCGGGGTTAAATTGTATGCAATAGCAAGGAATAGATCATAATTCGATTTTGGGCATCAAGTAATATCCACCTCGAGGACCGATATAAGCATTAGTAATCCAGTCGGCGAACGGAGTCAGGAAGCCCGTGATGCCGACCACCGTCAGGTTTATATTCTTTTTAGTCTCCGTAACTAATCCCGTACTCGTACTTCGTAAGCCCAAATGCCTTTCCTTGGAAGGATTTTTATCTCCGACATTTTGACTTTTATTGTACTGGTATGGGAAGCTTAGCCTTAGGTGGATACAATATAAAGACTCCGAAGTCCGTTTTTTATTTGCTCCGTTTTCGTTATATTGGAGTACATGTACTCCGTACTCCGTATACTAGTTCTATTAAATCCTGGAATCTTTTGGATCCTCCTTCTCCTTAGTTCCCTATCTGAATCCCTAATCCCCGAATACCCGACATTATCTCCGCATTCAGCATCTTGCCCCCCACATTCTATCACTTCCCAATTTTTTTCAATTTGAATTCCTGGGTGAACTGGCATTCGATCAAACTCCAGCGCCATGTCCGCGCCTGAGCCGCTACGTGAAGTAGTGGCTGATAAACTCGAGCCCAATACTTCGAAATCAGGACCCGAAGCCAAGGCCTCGGATCCGGACATGCAGCTTACGCAAAAGAAAAAATGGTATCGCAGACTCAATCCTCTGCGAATGCAAAAGATACCTCCTATACCAACAGAGCGATCTGTGTCGCGTGAACATGGTGCTTCATTTTTGAGTGTTGTTTCCTTTCAATGGATGGCTCCGTTGATGAAAGTTGGTTATCTACGTCCACTCGAATTGCAGGATATCTGGACTGTCAATCCTGACCGGGCCGTTGACGTATTGTCCGGCCGATTAGATGCCGCGTTGGAAAAGCGCACCGAGAGCGGCATTAACCGCCCACTTGTCTGGGCGTTGTACGACACGTTCAGATTTGAATTTCTGCTCGGTGGTGTCTGTCAGTTTTTCAGTTCGCTGTTGCTGGTCTTTGCACCATATTTGACTCGGTACTTGATTGCTTTCGCGACGGAGGCTTATGTCGCACAAAAGGCTGGTCAGCCGGCGCCAAACATTGGCAAGGGCATGGGTTTTGTCGTTGGTATCACCTGCATGCAGGCACTGCAAAGCTTATGCACGAACCAGTTCCTGTATCGGGGCCAAGTTGTTGGTGGGCAGATTCGAGCGGTGCTTATTTCTCACATCTTCAACAAGGCTATGAGATTATCTGGCCGTGCTAAGGCAGGAGGACAGGCTACCCCAGAAGAAGTCAAAGCCCTGGAGGCAACCAAGGAGGCTCTTTTGAAGCCCGAAGAGAAAGGAAAGCAATCGACGCCTGATACTGCGCTACCCGCACCTGGTGGTGTTGCTGGCGATGGCCGCGGGTGGAACAATGGTCGAATTACTGCTCTAATGAGCATTGACGTGGACCGAATTAACCTAGCTTGTGGAATGTTCCATATGATTTGGACAGCACCCCTCTCCATTATAGTGACGCTCGTCCTTCTCTTGGTCAACATCGGCTACAGTTGCTTGTCTGGGTACGCACTGCTGGTAATTGGAATGCCCTTTTTGACTTTCGCCGTGCGATCATTGATCAACCGACGGAAGAGTATCAACAAGATTACAGACCAGCGTGTATCTCTCACCCAGGAAATTTTGCAAGCTGTGCGCTTCGTGAAGTACTTCGGTTGGGAGAGCAGTTTCCTCGGCCGTCTGAAAGAGATCCGTGGACGAGAAATTCGATCCATCCAGACCTTGCTTGCGATCCGAAATGGCATTCTTTGTGTGGCGATGTCTATTCCCGTTTTCGCCTCGATGCTTGCTTTCGTTACTTATGCGCTGTCAAATCACGTCTTGGACCCTGCGCCGATTTTCTCCTCGCTAGCGTTGTTCAATTCCCTGCGGATGCCGCTGAACATGCTGCCAATGGTCATCGGCCAAGTGACCGATGCTTGGACCGCTTTTAGTCGAATCCAGGAGTTCTTGCTCGCCGAAGAACAAACTGAAGATATCGAGCGGGATGAGAACATGGAAAATGCCATCGAGATGGAGCATGCCTCGTTTACCTGGGAACGCCTTCCGACAAGCGAAAAGGATGCAGATAAAGCTGAGAAGAAGGCAGCTGCACAGCCTGAACCAACAGAAAAATCAACAATCAAGGACGATAACGCCAATGAGACTCCCGCGGAGCCGTTTAAACTAAACGACATGACCTTTGAAGTTGGCCGACATGAACTGCTGGCCGTAATTGGAACAGTCGGTTGTGGCAAGAGTTCCTTACTCTCAGCTCTTGCAGGCGATATGCGTGTGACTGATGGTACTGTACGAATGAGCACCTCACGTTCATTCTGTCCCCAGTACGCCTGGATCCAAAACACCACCGTGCGTAACAATATTCTATTTGGGAAGGAATATGATGAGACTTGGTATGAGCAAGTCCTCGACGCATGCGCTCTGACCCCAGATCTTGAGATCCTACCGAATGGAGATCAGACCGAGATTGGAGAAAGAGGTATCACAGTGTCTGGTGGGCAGAAACAGCGGTTGAATATTGCTCGAGCCATATATTTCAATGCAGAAATGGTGCTCATGGACGATCCTTTGTCAGCTGTCGATGCACATGTTGGTCGTCATATCATGGACAAGGCAATCTGCGGTTTGCTCAAAGACCGCTGCCGAATCTTGGCGACCCATCAACTCCATGTTCTCAGCCGATGTGACCGAATTATTGTTATGGACGAGGGACGAATCAATGCGATTGATACATTCGACAACTTGATGCGCGACAATGAGGTCTTCAAGCGATTGATGTCTACTTCTCGACAGGAGGATATGCAAGAGCAAGAGGAAGAAAGTGTCGGTGATGTCGTGGATGAAATAGACGAAAAGGAACCAAGCCTCAAGAAGGCTGCTCCAGCAAAACCTGCTGCAGCCTTGATGCAGCAGGAAGAAAAGGCTACCTCTTCCGTTGGCTGGGGTGTCTGGAAGGCATATATCCGGGCCTCTGGCAGCTATCTCAACGCCATCGTGATATTGATCTTGCTTGCCATTACGAATGTCGCCAACATCTGGACTAGTCTGTGGCTGTCCTACTGGACCTCTAACAAGTACCCGAACCTGTCGACTGGCCAATATATTGGAATTTACGCTGGCCTGGGTGGCGGTGTTGTTGTCCTGATGTTCGTTTTCTCGACTTATATGACCACCTGCGGTACAAATTCTAGCAAGACTATGCTTCAGCGTGCGATGTCCCGTGTGCTCCGCGCGCCTATGAGTTTCTTCGATACTACGCCGCTTGGACGAATCACCAACCGTTTCTCGAAGGATATCCAGGTGATGGACAATGAACTTTCGGATGCAATGCGTATCTATGCCCTGACGATGACCATGATTATCTCTGTCATGGTTTTGGTTATTGTGTTCTTCTACTATGTAAGTGCTCTGTCCCTTGGGATTTCTTGGGTTACTCGTAATCGGAGCTAACCCCCTTTAGTTTGTCATCGCACTTGTCCCGCTTTTTATACTGTTCCTCCTAGCTTCGAACTATTACAGAGCATCTGCCCGCGAGATGAAGCGCCACGAGGCTGTCTTGCGTTCAATGGTGTATGCCAGGTTTGGTGAAGCCATCACCGGCACTGCATGCATTCGTGCATATGGCGTAGAGAACCAATTCCGCCGCACCATCCGAGACTCTATCGATGTGATGAACGGGGCCTATTTCCTCACTTTCTCCAATCAGCGTTGGCTCAGTGTCCGACTCGATGCCGTGGCGACGGTAATGGTCTTCGTCGTCGGTGTTCTAGTTGTCACTTCTCGGTTCAATGTCTCACCCAGTATCTCTGGATTGGTGCTGTCTTATATCCTGTCCATCGCACAGATGCTCCAATTCACGGTTCGTCAGCTGGCTGAGGTTGAGAACAACATGAACGCCACAGAACGTGTCCACTACTACGGTACTCAATTGGAAGAGGAGGCGCCTTTGCACCAGGCCGTGGTGCCAGCTAGCTGGCCCGAGAAGGGTCACATCGAGTTCAGCAATGTGGAAATGCGCTATCGGGCTGGGCTTCCACTCGTCCTGCAAGGCCTCACCATGGACGTGCGAGGAGGCGAGCGTATTGGTATTGTCGGTCGCACTGGTGCCGGCAAATCGAGTATCATGTCCGCACTATTCCGTTTAACCGAGCTATCAGGGGGTAGCATCAAAATCGACGACATCGACATTTCCACCGTCGGCCTCCACGACCTTCGATCCCGCCTGGCTATCATCCCTCAAGACCCAGCCTTATTCAAGGGCACAATCCGCTCGAATCTTGATCCGTTCAACGAGCACAATGACCTCGAACTATGGTCCGCGCTGCGCAGGGCGTACCTCATCGGCCAAGAGCAAGAGCTCGAAGGCGAGGAACTGCAAAGTGGGCCAGCCACCGGAACCACAACCCCAGTCACAGGCAGTGACGTTAAAGCGCGGCCGATAAACAAGCTCACTCTCGAATCACCTGTCGACGACGAAGGCCTGAACTTTTCCCTAGGCCAGCGCCAATTGATGGCCCTCGCTCGGGCACTGGTCCGCGACGCACGCATCATCGTCTGTGACGAAGCTACCTCTTCCGTTGACTTCGAGACAGATCAGAAGATCCAGCACACTATGGCTCAGGGCTTTGATGGGAAGACTTTGCTGTGTATTGCGCATCGCTTGCGCACGATCATCCACTACGATCGCATCTGCGTTATGGATAAGGGTCGGATTGCTGAGATGGATGCACCAGTTGCGCTGTGGGATAAGACAGATGGCATTTTCCGTGCTATGTGTGAACGCAGCGGCATAACGCGCGAGGACATTCTCAGCACTGACTGAGATAATGTTTTGAAACCAGTATATAATTTCTACACACCACATATAGCATATAGCATATCAAAGCACATAAAAGTGAATATTAATACATACTATCTTTCGATTCTGCATCTTTACATTATTTCAAACAATAACGAATCACTCCTTATCTAATTCACAAACTAATTCCATCCCCAAATTCCGCATCATCCCTTCAAACCCAGCCTCCTTCCACCCACTCAGATCCCTCTCATCCAACTGCACCTCTTCCACCTCCGACGACACTCCAACAGGAAACCCAGTAAACTTGACCGGTAATGCAGGCGCCGTCCCAACAACCCTCATCCGCAAGCCCGTCAAAACCCCTCGCAGATGATCAGCTGCCTTCCCCCCACCCCGTCCTCCATACGAAACAATCCCCGCCGGCTTCCCCCTCCACTCGAAGAAGAGATAATCGAGTGCGTTCTTCAAACTTGCCGGGATACTCCAGTTATACTGCGGCGTGACAAAGATAAATGCATCATACTGCTGTACTACCGCAGACCACGCCCGTGTGTGCGCTTTGCTGTAGTGCGGAGTGGGGTCTGCTGGCGGTAGGCCGGCGGGGATGACAGATTCGTCGTAGAGGGGTAGGGATTGCTTTGCTAGATCGAGGATTTCAAAGGTTATGTGACGCGGGTCTGTATCGGTTATTTCACTGTGGTTTGTTGGGATCGTCGGGTCGGAGGTTAGTACGTCATAGACATACTGCGTTACGGCAGGGTTGAGACGCGGACTGCGCGTGCTGCTGGTAACTATGGCGACACGTTTGGGAGCCATTGTGTATTGGTTTTGACTGAGAGGATTCATTTTAGTGAGAGATTTGGAAATTTATGGGAGCTTTTATAGAAGGTAGAAGCTGTTTTCGGGGCGGACATAGTAAGTAGTTCGGAGGTCGGAGATTAGAAACGTTGGAACCTGGACGCTTTGACTTTTATAGTTCTATAGCTATTTTTTATCTGTTCTTACATTCAAGGACTATTGGAATTTAAATAGTACATGTTAACATTGAGATAGTATATAACAGAATAGTGGGAAACATCGGAAAGCCACACACATTCTGGATTTTGAATAAAACAACCACGATTGAACAGCATATAAGACATGGAGTTACTGGCTCCTATACATTCCTCTTCTTCAATTCCAAGAATCAGAAATATATACCAAGTATCAAGCGCAAGACATAAAGCAATGGGTCTGCCCCTGTGTGCCTATCTTTTCCAATGCGGGATCTGGTCTCCGCAACCAATTAGCCAGCATGTTGGTACAATGATCAACATGTTCTAGATCGCTAAGCATATTATCCAGACGATCACCACGCATGTGGACATCATGGCCTCGTCGAAGGAGATACAGACAATGGACCAGATGCTCACGGACAGCAGTCCAATAAAAGTCCGGGTTATTACCGAGCTCAGTGTAATCCTTCATCTGCTGTGTGGCAGCCTCATCGTAGAAATAAACAAACGGCTTGCCCTTGTTGAAGTGCGCAAACTCCTTCGTGAAGTCATGTGGACATTCTTTGTGTAACCAACAGCCAGCAAGAGGATCGTAGGCGCAGCCGAGGGCTTCGGCCTCCTTGGTTGAGTTCCCGCACGAATATCTTACTCGTGGAGTTGGTGGCAGGCACTGTCGTTTGCCTTCGAGTGATTCTGGGTATGCTAGGGAGTCAGAGGCTGGCCCTTTAACGACAAGGATCTTGCGGAATGGTTCCACTGCGATGGCCGTGATTACGGCCATCAATAGGAGTAGCAGGACCATGAGCAGACCAGTGATGGTGATTGTGGTGAGGTTTCGTTTCATAAATTGCTGCAAGCCCCGTCGGGGAGATCTGTTTGTGATGGTGGCATCGCTGTCGCCATCAGCATCCGCTTTGGGGACGGGGTGGTAGTCGCGAGAAAAGGGTTTGTCCATCGTGGCAGAGTTAACGAGTGACGATGTGGTAGTTTTTTGTAGGATCGTAGAGAAGAGACAGATCTCCTTTCTGAGGACGATTCCCGTAGTTGCACAAGATGCTTATTGAGATTGTAGTCTTATTCATGTCGAAGTCGAGACAAAGAGTAGACAGGCGAAGTCTATAGATGTCTCGATGTAGATATCAATAAGACTCGGAAGAAATAAACCAATCATGTCATATCTGGGCGAAGAGTTCAATGAGTGATGGAGGAAAATTCATCCAAACAAAGAAACCACAGAAAACCCACCATTTCACAACCCAACCGTCCTCCCCTCCTTGATATATAGTAAGTTCGTTCCTTTTACTCTGTACAGAGTACATAATTTATGAATATTAAATAATTACATCAGGGCCTCGGTCATAGATGAGGCCAACCCTATGAGCTTAACAACTGTAACTCCGCTATGCGCCCTGCGATATCTATCTCCATGGACTTTGAAGGGCGCTTCATACCTTTACATAAATGTATTGCTAAAAGACTTTGTAGAAGATATCTGCTAGATTGAGCACTATGTTCCATTATCTATCGACAAATTCATCTTATGGCACATTCACAAATTCCCGAAAAAGATGCACAAAAGCAAATTACAACAAGAATGAAAAAAGCAAATGTACAAAGCTGGCACAAAGCTAACCAGACTCTAGCGCTATCACTAATCTAGACGACAAAGACAGTCTGATTGAGAGATTCCAAAAATGCAGAAGGACCGGCCTGTAATTGAACAAAATCAGTATACTTGAATTTCAGCAAATGTAATAAATCAACCTACACCAATCAGAGCCGCATGGGCGATATTAATCTGGCTTTTACCAATGGTAGCTGATGCTGGAACGGTGACTGTGAAGTTCTCATATGGGGGTAGGCTGGGCTCGTAGTATTGAGGGTTGAAAGGCCCGTTGTATAAAATTGTTCCGAGAACCTCGTCTGCGTCTCTGCAAGGCGAGGATTTACATGAGGAGAGGCCGATTGCTACACCCATCTCCTTGGACGGACTTAGAGAGTTCTGGATAATAGATTAGTAAAACGGATTGCGAAGTTGGAAGAGCTATGTAGCCCGGACTCTGGAACTTACAGGGCGCTGTACTTGGACGACGACATCCTTTCCAGAATTAATTCTCTGATCCTCGACGGGTAGTCCGATTGTAGCTCTCTGAGCAATGGCTACGGCGATGAAAAGGACGATGGAGAAGAAGGACTTCATTTTCATTGATTGGGCAGAGTTGTAGAGTGGGAGATGTGCTGGAAAGGTGATAAGATGATATAAGATGTTCTGTTGTATGGAGAAGATGTAGTGCGAGGTATTTATATACTCAAAACCTGGATAAACAGCCCTAGGAGTGATCCTTGGGATTCTAAAAGAGTCGAATATGACGATTGGTCTCTATGCAAGTCTCAGATACATTTCATCGTGAAACCCATACGCCATGGACAGCCGTAGAGTCACCTTGCATATCGAAATAAGCAAGCTAACTAGGGTTTCACTTCAAACGGTCAACTCAGGCTTGATTTCAAATCTGTTCCCTACATTACTGGTGGGTTCTAGTGGGGTTCTAAGGGCTGATGGTGCATACATTGTAGGGAGTATGGAGTACTCCGTAGCTGTCTCACATATGAGCCCATGATATTTCTTGAACTAACCAAGATTTATGATAATATATGGCCTCTTAATGCATTACTCAACTGAGAATTCCCCACAGCTCCCAGAATAGAACAATCGCTAGGACCGATAAATAAGGCGTCCCTTAATCTAAGGCTGAACAGAGCAAATTCCACTGCATATGCAAACGCCAGGCCCAAATTAGAATCCTCATACTGATATGATGATTTCTAGTTAGAACCTTATTGTTGACTGCTTTTTAACATGCTCCAGCTGTCCAAATTAAATCAAGTTTTCTGTCTCTCTGCTTTAAGCTTGCGACATCCCTTATTTTCCCTATTGCCCTTCAAATTGTGGCAATTTCATGTCCGACATCGGGCTAGTTGGGTTGGAAATCAACCCTTGCCTCGTTCCCATAGGTTACGGGCCATGTAGACAAATCACATTGGCTTTTGTCCATGAAATTCAACGGAACTCTTCCAGGGCATATTCTTATTACTCGTCAATCGTAAGGCAAGATCTTCATTGATGAAAAAAACTATCATGCTATGTACTCTTCCTCCTTCGCATCATTTCCCTCCTTTTCATCGTTCTTGTCGTCCTCCTTTTTCCCGCATTTGAACAGAGAATGAAAGAATAAACACAAATTCACTCAATAGAAAAAAGAAACCTTAGCTTCTTCATGACAAGCACACTAAAAGTTAAACCTTACCGGATTCTTCAACGCCCGTCTACCTCTCTGACAGTCAATTCATCTGAGATTGCCTGTTTTTCTTTCTCTGCCTCAAGAGCCGCTGCCATTCGGGCCTGTTTTCGCCTCCACTTCCTCTTACGCTTCGTGTTCTGTGGGTTTCGATAACATTCCTCAATAGGATGTCTCGTCAGACGCTGATGGAAGGGGCAATACTGCTTGGGAAAATTTTCAATTTGCTTCAAGTTGGCAACAGCAGTATCTAGGCTACCTAGGGATGACTGTGGGCTTCCTAGTCGGCATGCCTCAAACTCCAGGAAATCATCAAAGGCTTCATCGAGTATTGATGACGGTAGAGACCCTTTACCAAATTGAAGCGACTCAATCCATGGGATGGTGTTCGGGTTAGCACTGGCTGCGGCAAGGAACTGATTCAGGAGATAGACCGTGGGAATATCTGGGCGTCCAAATGCCTCTTTCATCTCCTTTAGAGCTTGTTTCCAGGCTTGCACAAATGCGTTTGGTGAATTCGACGAGTAATACACCGTGTGAAGCCAGTTCATGTATTTGCGATAAGCGACCAGACAGTCATGGGGTTGGGTATCTGGAATATCACCAGGCTCGCCGGAAAAGGAGGCTGTGAATGGACCGGAACTGTGGTAAGCAGTGTTCAAAGGGGCTGGAACAAAGAATTGAGGGCCATAAAGCGAGGGGTCTACGACCGGTGGGCCATATGGGGGAGGGCCCGGTGGATAAGGATCAAACGAGACAGGGTAAACTGGCGGCGGTCTTTGTAAGATGGGACCATAAGAAACGGGGCCGACGGACGTAGGACCGTAGTACACAAACCCGAACTGAGGTGGAGCTGGGGCCTCGGTAACTGAAGTCGGGTTCAAGAAAACAGGTTCGCCCTCAAACGCAGCAGCGGGATCCCCTATGCCGGAAGGGAACATCCCGACTTCAGTTGATGAAGCAGTGGGTGAGGTAGCCTTAGTGTTATCCTCAATCCAGTAAATTTCGTTGAGTAAAGATCACAGAGCTCGATAGACGTAGCTTGAATGCTAAAAAGGACACAGCGGAAGTGGTTAATTTGCAACTTGTACGAGTAGATGGAAAGAAGTTGACAAAGATAAGTCGGACGATAGGAATATATGCTTTTTTGGCACATCGATAGATACCCGGTGAGGTTAAACAGTGCGTTGTTGGGGTGATGACAAGGGAAAGTTGGTAGCTACTGTTGGATCCTCGTTTATATGTAGCATCACCGCCTATAATTTGACCTTTTACCTGGGTAGCAAAGGTGATCGAGATCGAGTCAATTAAAGTGAGACATTAGGTACGCTAAGAGCTCCAGAAGACAAACATGACCTCAGTATTACCTTTAAACACATGATGATCACAAAGGTGTAATTTGCGTATAGCTTAGAGAGAAGTGAGATAAATCTCAAAGCATTCTATAATGGTACGAAAGAAATTCGAAACCAATCTGACGTTGTCCCCGAAGAATTCTACCGCCCTGTAGGATAGGCAAAGCTCGACCAGGCGCCTAATATATTCTTCTCAGTACTATTGAGGGACATGTCACGGGTTTATCATGTCATCTTCATTTTCTCCAGGGCAGACTTAATTCTGAGATCAGAAAAGTCATTGATATTAATGTCAGCTAGCAAACATGTCCTTTGTCCACTTCGTCCACCCTATTTCCGTATGTGTGGGTCCTACTATATTTTGTATTTTGTGCTTCCCGGGCTCATTTGACCAACTGACCGATGCCAAGAACGAGTCCCAGCACGAGGTCGTTCCTGCATGTCGCCAACCCAACAATGATTCGAAGTACGAGTACGAGCCTTCTTCTCCGCAGCCAGCTCCAATGCTATAGTTCGAAGACCTATTCTTCCAAGTACTGCTGTTGGGCCAACTCGAGTGCGATTTTCTTTTAGGGAGACTTCTCAAGTTTCTTCTCGCAGAGGGGGCCTCTAAGGATACGACTCCCATTGTCGCCCTCAACTAAAGGTTACTCGCATTATGTTTGTTCTCTGGCTTGAGAAAGAATCTGGATTCTTTTCTTCCCATAGAAACAGGTCACATCTTGGCATTAATGTCCACTGTGCAAACTTTGATCATATACAGCGGCAATCGGGGCTAAACTCGGGAGATGTCCCATTTGCCTTTTCAATGGTAAAAAGGTTGACAATTGCTCCGGGGAGATGACAGTATATCCCTAAACTCTACTCTGTTTTGAAATGGTAAAGATATTCCGGGTACGGAGTACTGACACTGATAATTCTAGAAGCAATGCCAGCCAATCTCTCAGCATTGTGCTTTGGGCAAATATGGTATAAACTTATAACTATGGACCAGCGGCTAAGGTAATCATGTGGTTCTCCCGTTGGAGCTCCGGCTAAAATCCGAGATCGCCTTTGTGTGATTGTATATTATGCCTTCTGTAATTTGCGCCAGTTATGTGAGCATATCATGAAATAATAATCTCGATCTACCAATTCGATCTCGGACCATTGAATTGTATAAATGAAGCCAATGAGCCCCGGGATATAGTCCACGCCTCGAAACACAGGGCTCCGTGACTGACCCAGAAAGCCGTTCAGCTGGTAGGGGATTGCCCAGGTACTGGGTCCGTGGAAGGGGTGAAAATCGAAAGCCTAGTAATGTGAAATGAGCTATTACTATGCAGGATTGAGAGTGCCAATGTACTTCAGAGACCTTGGCATTTGACATCCATGGATGTCTCTAAGCCGAGTTACGCGCATCGGGCAGCTGCAACTATCGGATAATGTTGATCGGCATGAACTTCCAGAAGGATCAATTCCCGAGGCCTGAGTTAAATTAATTTCCAAGGTTCCAAGCGGTAGAACCCATGGTTCCTCATAAACTATAAGGTACCTTGTAATATTTGATTAAATCTTGAACTAAAGAGATTTAGTGCCATTAAAAGGTCTAGGGTCTACTAATTAAAAGTAAAACAAAATGCAAGATACACTGGAGAAAGATCAGAAGATAGCTAATATCTAATATACGTCAAACAAATTCCCATTTGAAAGCCACATGGGAAAGAATGGGGTGGGACCTACCGGGATCTGATAGCCAGCCATTTTGGCACGTTCCAACCCTCTCCACATCATGTTATGGATGTAATATTTTCTATTTCTTATCATGTCAGAGTATATTTAGTATACATACTTTTCTAATACAATTCTATCAAACATGCAACTTTTGTTCCTGGTCGATCTTTTTCTGAGGGGATCCGCCCGATCGTTACGCCTATCCCACCTTAGCTCTATAAAACTGTCGGAATGAACCCTTTTCCTCCTCAAGATTTCCAGGAGTGGGTAGATCGACGCCAAAGCAACCTATCTGCCTCCACCGTGTCGTCTTCATCAACGAGTATCCTCTTCTCGAGCCCTACGACATCTCCAGGGTCCAGCTCGAGGAAGCAATCCTGGCAGTTCTACGATGATGTCGTGCGGCTCGAGCTGACTCCCTCTGTGCAAATGTCTGTTCTCTGAGAGAAAGGTCTATTCAGGCCATGCGCTGACTTGTTACTAGTTCCTTTGTCAAGAATGGCCAGTTATTCAAGTTGAAATACAAATTCATTGATATCTGCAAGGATTCAACGGGCGCATTGAGGTGTCTCGAACTCGGGGGAGGATTAGGCCAGCAGACACCTTTTGTCCACACCTGTGAGTTGGCTAGCATATCTTCGAAGGATAACATGCTGATCCTTCAAATCATCGATTAGTCTCCAATACAAAACTGCCAGTCCCTCACCTAGAACATCCGAAATCAGGCGCCGATTACCCCCTCCGCGTGTCCTTCATGGATCAGCAAACCGTGCAAACGGCAAACACGATATTCATGACACAGCTATCATATAAATTTGATCACTGGGATGGTACGCGACCGATAAAGCTTGGAGGGTAAACATTTGCTTACATCTACAGATTGTGTACGATTCCAAGAACTGCTACTTGGCTCCAAGTTGGTATTTATCGGCGGCATGGCTGAGGCCAAATCTAAAGGCCGAGGTGAAGAGTGCATCAGCCAAAATCTTCGTATCCTTCGCGGGCATAACGGGAAACGTGTGATGCTATTCTTTGCTAACTCACAACGGAGAGAGCTCAAACGATACGTTTCCATTCCCCGTGAGTTCACTTCTATCCGGACCGATCCTCTGTCACAGTGACCTTGCTAATAATCCGACTAGTGAACTGTATTGGGGCAATTAAACCCCCAAAGAAGGCTGGGCGACCAGCCATAATTGATCTGAATCCGAACTTCGATATTCTGTCTCAAATGAGGAATTTTACGATTCAGTTTCTTGACGATGATGGTCAGTTACACATTTAAGTTTCTATGGGCTATCACTTATTCCTTTCTAGATTGCAGAGAATTTTGTCAGATGTTATCATATGACCTGACCATTGGATGAATAGTTCATGGTGGACAGATCCCATATAATCCCTCAATCTTATGACGATGATGAATTTTTGCATGGAGTTGGGCAAATTGGGGGCTAGATATCACATAATACCAATATACCCGGGCGTTTTGCGGATAATTGCACGTGGAATAGATCAATGGAATTGAAATTTTCAAATTAGAAAAAGAAAAAAAAAAAAAAAGTAAAGTAAAAGGGCTCATTTTAAGCCAAGATAGAAATATAATACACAAAATGTCAAAGTTCCAGATGTCTTATAAAAACGAATAACCTTTCCTCGTGGGTATAGATGTCGACAAGTCAAGCACCAGAAACGCCGCACGTGGAGAAAACAACTCCAAAGCTTTGGCCCGTTCCAAGGTTTGCCTTGCATTAGCGCGTGTAGGGATCAATTGGAACCAAAGTTACTTTACGCCCCTCTAATCTACTTCCCCTCTATATTGTAATCTATTATCTTCTATCTGCTCATACTCAAATGTAGGATCTTCATCTTTCAATTTACTACGATTCACAATGGGCAAGTTCCACGCCCGGTTGTATAAAACCGACCGTGCTCGGGACTTTGACCACGAGCAGGTATGGACTTCCTAACACCCATGGCATGCAAGATTGTTAACAGTTTTATAGGATCGATATGTTCGCATGCGACAGATTTATGAGACTATCGACCGGCAAGGCTTTCAATGGATTGTTGTGCTGGTCGCTGGTCTTGGGTTCTTCCTCGATGGTTACACAGTACGTTAGCCCACGTTCCAGGACATATTGAAGTTTTGTTACTTGACCCATATATGGCAACTACTAATACTTGATATAGTTATTTGCTAGTAACATTGCCCTACCGATGATCTCCTATGTGTACTGGAGAGACGAAACTGCCTCGTTACGACTCACATGCATCAATATCGCAACACTTGGTGGAACCCTGCTTGGCCAAGTAGCATTTGGGTTCCTAGCCGATAAAAATGGGCGGAAGAAGATGTACGGTGTTGAATTGGTACTCCTTATTACAGCCACTCTAGGTGTGGTCATGTCCTCGACAGGTGTAGAAGGCAGCATGAACGTCTATGCGTGGCTTGTTTGGTGGAGAATCTGTGTCGGTATTGGAGTGGGTGCGGATTATCCACTCAGTGCAGTGATCACATCTGAGTAGGTTGATCTCAAAATCTTCAATTGCGGAGAGACTGACTTTGAAATGTCAGATTTGCCCCGACTAAACATCGAGCTCGCATGATGGCCGCGGTCTTCTTCATGCAGCCACTCGGTCAGATTGCAGGTAACATTGTCGCAGTGATTGCGATCGCGGTGGCTCATGGTAATACCGCTCCGGGTGAAGACATCACCCGCACTGTTGATATAATGTGGCGCTGGGTGATCGGTATTGGAGTTGTGCCTGGTGCAGTCGCTACTCTTTTCCGATTCGCCATTCCAGAAAGCCCTCGCTATCTAGTCGATATCGTGGACGATCCCGTCACTGCGGAGTTTGATGCGACCACACTTTTCAGTGATACGCCCGGTATGATTGACTCGGTGAGCTGGGGAAACACTACTTCATGCAGTGCCGGTGGTGGGATTCAACTACCCCCGATTTCATCCATTGCTAGCAGTGCAATCTCTGATGATGAAGACGATGATGAGTTCACCCGCCTACCCCCCGCAACCCTCAACTCTCACTGGCGGTTGGCACGTACCGACATCGTGCGGTACTTCTGGACAGAAGGGAACTGGCGCAGCTTGGCTGGTTGCTCTCTCGCATGGCTCCTTCTTGATTTTGGCTTCTACGGTATTGGATTGTCGAGCCCTCAATTCTTAGCCAAAACGTGGGGCGTACTTCATATCTCCAAGCCGGCACCGACCTGGATGACCAACGACACACCAAATGCCAATGTCTTCGATATGTTCATGGATACCTCTGTGCGTGGGCTGATTGTGCTCAATATCGGAAGCTTCGTCGGTGGCATAATGCTCATTATCTTTGCACATAAACTCGATCGTGTTGCACTACAGAAGTACATGTTCCTTGCATTGGCGGCTCTGTTTATCGCCCTGGGAACCATGTTCGTCTGCCTTTATACCGGTCCTCCTGCTGTGGTGGCATTGTATATCGTTGGTCAAGTCATGTTCAACTTTGGTAAGTCAAACTCAGCCCTGATACAACGCATCAAGCCATTCTAACCAACTACCCGCAGGCCCGAATGCAACAACCTACATGATCCCCGCCGAGATATTTCCAACCCGATACCGCGCGACATGTCACGGCATCAGCGCTGGGGCTGGAAAACTGGGCTCTATTCTCGTCCAAATATTCTCAGCATACTACCACTTTGGCTCAGGGCCGGGCAACGAATCAACCCGCAAGCACGGCATTGTTCTCCTTGTTTTCAGCGCCTGCATGGTCTTGGGCGCAGCAGTCACGCACTTCTGGATTCCACCTATTCAACAAAAACGGAATGGCAAAACTAAGCTATGGGGTGGTAAACCAGAGACACTTGAAAGCTTGTCTCTTGGCCGAATGGGGCGCAAGAGTCGAGATGCTGATTGTCGGAAACGGACATCACGGCATCGGGCGCTTTCAATGAGTGCCTAGTTATTTGTCTTTATATCTTTAATCTGTATAAATTTTAATCACATATTATTTGCATTGGGAAGTTCCAGCTCCATGAATATAAACCTCCATGAATATAAACCAATCGCTACTTTCAACCACTGAAATCAACGTTATAAATGCATTCAAACTCGAGAGAGGTCACCATCAAGCAACCGCCTTGTAGCCACCTCATCAAGGTAAAGTGCAACATCGATTCCCTCATCTTGAACCCCACTATCCATCACCTGGATACACCCATCCATCTTGGGCATAATAGCGTGCACGTAACGTGGCTTGGCCCCACCCACAAAGTCTACCTCGTACAACTGCAGCCGCAACCACGACGTGACAATCGTATGCTCGGACCCCAAGAAAGCCTGCCACAGCCGCTGCGGCGACACCTCATGTGCAGCATCATGCAACATCGCACCAATAGCATCAGTCGTAAACCCCTTCATCGTCTCTCGGATCCGACTCGCTGTATCGCCTAATATTTCCTGGCATACCGACGAAGCGGGTCCACCGACATGGGTTAAGAACAGCGGGGATCCGATGAATGTCTCAGGGAGAGCGGGCGAAACACGTGGTCGTGCGCCGAGGCTCAAATTCATATACACGGGTCTAGAAGACTCGGCGTACCCGCGTGCTCGCGTAATGGCTACCCACAAGTGAGCGAGTAGAGCGTCCAGCCTAGAGATATCACGTCGACTCCCTGGTGTATCGAGGGCGGTAGCTTGGAGTTTTCGTAACTCTACACCTGTGAAGTGTAACTGTGTGTATCTGACTTTTTTCGAGAAATCCCATGAAGCCCATGGCGCTGCTTCTGAGGGCGAGACTCGTTTTTGGTCGATTTCTGCAGGCGGCTTAGAGTTCTCTGTCGTTGGTATTAAAAATGACGGGTAACCCTCTGCGGCGTAATCCCACCAGCTATACCTATGTAAAGGTAATTTCCGGGCGGTGCTCACAAGCGCTTGGTCTGGCTCGGGGCTATCGATATCGCCCAAGGCGCAGCTGTCCAGCAGCGCGGGATCGAACACCGGTTCGCCCATTAGCGATGATTTGGGCTGATTTCCAAATTGCTTTTTGCTGTTATATGTCCACAGATGCACGAATACCATCAAAGACTGTGCGTCCGCTAGACAGTGCGCGAGCTTAATTCCGATCACATAGCCTCCTTCCTGGAGAAGACTTATCTGGACTTGCATCCCTGGCAAACCCACATAGTCGCGCAAATTGGCGAGTGCCAATGGGTTGGATGATATGAAGAGACTTTCTTTGAAGTTGTCGCCTGCCCATGCTCCGGGTTGAGAACCGGTGGTTGATGAAGCCCGTTCCTTTGATGTGGGGACAATTTCATCTGCTCGAAGGGGATACTCAATTACTGTCCATTCAACGCCTGGGTCGGTATCAGTCCCATACACAATTAATGGGCGATTGAATCGTTCTGTGTGGTTTCCTTTCGGGTTGACAGGTGCCCATTGTAGTTGGCCTGCCCATTGAGGGAATTTTGATAAAGTTTCAATGAAGGAAGCTCGCAGGTAGTCGATTAAGGTCTTCTGATCTAAGTCCGCAGGTTGGTCGAAGATCCAAATTCCGCCTGTTGGGGAAAAGCGTGCAACTGTTGCGTCGAGGATGGACAGGGGTGTTGATGTCGGTGCTGACTGGTGGGCTGGTCGCAGCCTTGTGGACTCGATAGTGGTCATGCTGTATGTGTACGTAAAATATTTTTGGCTGTGATTCCTAGACTAATCTCATCCATTTTATCTTTCTGACTTCATGAGTCAACATGCGTCACTATGTGACACTGTGCGTCAGCCCCACGCTAACTTCCTAGTTAATTGAACTAATATAGAAGAAGAGCCTGACTCGCTCCATATCTTTTAAGGTATAGCTAGTTCCAGAGGACTTAGGTACAGCCCCGACTCTGCCCCTCAAACTGTACCCAATCCTTTTGGAAGCCGCATAAGTGGGGAAACGGGAAATCGTGTCGCGTGCCCACATCTGTATCTAATTCATACAGGTCACACACGAATTAGGAACAATCCTAAATAGCCGACGATCTGTCACTGCTGGAAGGCATCCATCGACCAACTTGTGAGCAATTTCTTGGGCGCGGGCATTTGAGTAGTGTGTCTCCTAGTGCAAACATACCCCTCGAAAACAAGATCGGTACTGCATTTGCGACTCTAGGTCTTTCCCAATCTCTGTCATAGCCACTCAAACAGTGCCAGAAATGAATGAGCACGTCTTCGCCTTCGAGATTCATTGGGCAGAACTAATTGTGACCAGCGGCTGTGGGCGTGACATTCTTGTACTTGCGATACATGGCATCACTTGCAGTCCTCCGAGCAAGGCGTATTCTAGGGGTAGGCCGAGCCCTCGGCCTGTATTGGCCTGATAACATAGCATTAGACGGGCGCTCGTCCGATTGGCGCTGTAGTGATAGAGATTTCGATATCAGAGCTCTAGGGGGGTTGATCGGAGTAATTCCGAAATTTTGAACAAAAAGATGGGTCAGGCGATGTGGCCAACTCACGCCATTATGCGACCATTTAGCTTCATGGATTGAAGGTAGAAATGTGCATGTACGTTGTAGACCTCACAGGCGTCTACACTACACTAGAAATAATAAAAAAAAACGAAAAAAAAAGTAGTGCATCATCCGTGAATCGAACACGGGCCTCGTCGATGGCAACGACGAATTCTACCACTAGACCAATGATGCTAGTTCGATGTAATGGGGTCCACTATTATAAAATATATGTCTATTATCATCTTCCAATTCTTACTACTTAGCAACGAAAGCAATCATCCAATTTCCTTCGCTGAACCCCCCTAGAGAATTGGCATTCTGTTTGGAAAATCAATGCATAGCGGAGGAGAGAACCTAATTGACTGCTTTAAATAAAAATCTAACGAATATAGAACATATTGGGTATAATATTGCCTGTTTGACAAACAGCTCAGGTTGTACAAATATATATTTCACACCGCCGGTTGTCGCACCAGGTGGTAGTTGCACACAAGTGAACATGCCTTACAGGCAAAGTTGACACCAATCATACATGTCACAAAGGGTTGAATGCTTCTTAGTACATCGCAACAATCCCAAGTGAAAATTTCTGTACTCAGATAGTCGGTAATGTTGAATTTCATACATAAAGCTATACATCAATCGAAGTCAATAGTGATTGAATGCTATCTAAAGGGAATAATTTCTAAACGAACCTTCAAATTGAGAGTCGCCTATAACTATATACAACATAAGGTACTGGGAATTAGTATGAACAGTGGGCCTAGACCTGGGTAAAGCCCGCGTCCTGCAGATTACAGAATAATCCACTTTCATACATGTACTATTAATGTCTGGAACTTTCTGTGTCAGAATGCGGGGCTGGGAGATCATGAGGGGTTATTTCATTGCACCTCTGTATTTTATATCAGTTCCCAATATCCTCAATTGCAAATCAAACCCACCCAAATCAACATGGAAACTCCCAATGATCTTACCCCATCGCGGGAGCGAGTTGTGCCAGGCTCCTGCAACATTGAACTCGGCCAATTCCCCAAGACTATGTCTGAATCCGAGTCGAGTCCTCCCCTAGACCCCAATGCCATTGCGGACAAAATAGTCGACCAGCTAAACCTGGGTCTCGCAGCCAAAGACAAGGCAACGATTGCGTCGCTGTTTCTCGACAACTGCTATTGGCGTGACCATCTGTGCTATTCGTGGGATTTCCGCACTATCGAGGGTAGTGAAGCTATCGCCGCCTTTGTCACTGAGGCACCACCCAGTAAAATTGAAATCGATCGATCGTCTGACCTCAAATCCCCACACAAGGCTCCTATCGATTCATTTGGGGAAGTCTTTGGAATCGAATTTTTCTTCAAGGTCACCACCGAGAGTGGAAAGGGAAATGGTATTATGCGCCTGGCGGAGCAAGATGGCAAGTGGTACATTTTCACCGTTTTCACTTCCATGATCGAGTTGAAGGGCCACGAGGAGAACAAAGAGAGGCCGTTTGGAGTCCGACATGGCGAGCAGCAAGGTCGAAAGAACTGGAAAGATCGACGCACCGATGAGATCAACTTTGAAGGAAAGGACCCGGTAGTACTGATAGTTGGTATGTGCCGATGAAATGTTTCCTCTGCGAGTGTGAAATCTGACTGAATGAATGAAGGTGCTGGCCAGGGTGGCTTGACTGCCGCAGCGCGTCTCAAGATGCTCGAGGTTGATACCCTCGTCATTGACCGAGAAGAGAGAATCGGAGACAACTGGCGCCAGAGATACCACCAGCTCGTTCTCCACGACCCGGTCTGGTACGACCACATGCCATACCTACCCTTCCCGGCTGACTGGCCTATCTATACACCAAAAGATAAGCTGGCGGATTTCTTCGAAACCTACGTGAAGTTCCGAGAGCTCAATGTTTGGACTCAATCTGAGATCAAGTCTTCATCCTGGGATGAGAATAAGAAGCAATGGACGGTTGTTATCGAGCGCAAGACAGACAACGGGACCGAGACACGCACCTTGCACCCACGCCACGTAATCCAAGCTACCGGTCACTCCGGCAAGAAAAACCTGCCCATCTTCGACGGAATGGATGATTTCAAGGGAGATCGTTTGTGTCACAGCTCGGAACATCCTGGCGCGAATTCCGAGTCAAAGGGAAAAAAGGCCATTGTCGTTGGATCTTGTAACTCGGCAAATGATATCGCCCAGGACTTTGTCGAGAAAGGATACGACGTGACTATGGTACAGCGAAGCTCTACCTGTGTGGTGTCATCTGAGTCTACCTTGAAAATTGCCTTCAAAGGGCTCTATGATGCGACCGGCCCGCCAACCGAAGACGCTGATCTTTATCTGTGGAGCATTCCATCGCGCATATTCAAAGCGCAACAGGTCAAAGTTACCAAACTCATAAACCAGAACGACGCAGAGACCATCCAAGGACTAGAAAAGGCAGGCTTCAAGGTCGACAATGGACCTTTGGACAGCGGTCTCTTGATGAAGTACTACCAGCGTGGAGGCGGGTACTATATCGACGTCGGTGGAAGCCAGCTCATCATCGATGGGAAGGTCAAGGTGAAGCATGGCCAGGAAATCAGTCGAGTTCTTCCCCATGGACTCCGATTTGCGGATGGTTCAGAGCTTGAAGCCGATGAGATCGTCTTCGCTACTGGGTATCAGAATATGAGAACCGAGACTCGTGTGATTTTCGGTGACAAGGTTGCTGATAGCGTTGGCGATGTCTGGGGACTCGATAAGGAGGGTGAGATGCGGACTATCTGGCGGCGGAGTGGTCACCCCGGATTCTGGTTCATGGGCGGGAACCTGGCTCTTAGCAGATACTACTCGCGTTTGCTGGCCTTGCAGATCAAAGCACTGGAAGAGGGATTGACTACTTGGTAGTTACCGAAATGGGCATGTGGGATTCTGGTGAGACTTCATGAATCCATGGATAGGCAACGTGGGGACTCCACTCACGAGTATAACCCCACCTCAATTTCCTCCTCTTCCTTCTCTTTCTCTTCTGTCGAATACTACATTCTTATATAGTCCTAGTACTCGGAATGCAATATGCCGTCGCTGTTATCATTAAGACATCGCAAGTAATCCTTCATACCAGTGAATTTTCAATGTACAACGTAGAAACGGTTAAGTTAGATACATTCGATCAAAGTTAACCCAACCAGCCTTCTTGTGAAGCCACCGAAGCTCCCAATGTCAACACAAGAGTGTACAACCAAGTCTCCAAATCCGCGGAGCCCTCAGAAACCGGCTCCGTCAATGCCAAACAAGTCCGAAGATGATCCAAGATCGAACTCTTCCTCACGGTGATCTCCAGCCCACCTGGAGTCATAGTAGCAATGCGACTCTTCCGACGCGCCTTGCGGTCAATTGCCACTAGAACGAAGTGTTCACTATCCGTAGACCCGGATTCCCCGTTTCCATCTGCGGAGACTGCCCGTTTCTCCCACTGCATGATCATCCGACCCTGCTCGGGGGTGGCTGTGGTGTCTTCTTTTTTGATGACGAATCTGTAACATGTGCCTTTCTCAGATCCTGCTGAGCTGGCACAAGCTTGCCAGATGCATTTTGCGTCACGGAAGTGAATTGATGATGTGGGGTTGTTGTTGTTGTTGTTGTTGCTTGACGGCTGGCACATTGCAGCGACGATGTCTTTTTCTTGGATACCATTTGACTTTGTATCTTGTTCTTGGGGATTTTCTTGTCCCTCTGCTTGCTTATTGGTGATGTATGGCTCATTGAGTGTGGCGTAGATATCCTTTGTGCCGAGCTTTGGGCGTTGAGGGAAACATTTCGACAATTTTGATTTGCGAAGTGGGGGTTGCCATATCTCTAGTACAGGCACTGGTCGATGAATTGGAGAGAGTTGTTGAATTTGAAGGAGTAGTTTGGGACTGAGTCGAAGTAGTTGACTTGATTTCGGAGGCGGCCGAGCTATTTGGAACTTGGCCTGTATTTTGGTGTTGAGGGTTTGAGATGATGGTCTGGGGATGAATTAGACATGATTCTCATGATGAAAGAATTGCCATGTCATCTTCCTTTGTTCTAGGAGTATTCTTACATACCGTTCTTCGCTTGCTGTGTCGCTATCATAGTTTGGCGTACTATCCGGGGATTCCATCGCGAAGTCATACATATTGTCGCGTCTCTAGGATTGAAGAATTGATATAAACCCAGAAAAGAAAATAGTTGAGGGCTAGAAGGTCTTGACCGTTTTATAATAAATAATTAGCTAGCTAGTCAGCCCTGTCTGTAAGGCCGTACTCGTATAACTAAACGTGCACGAGCCAAGGCAACTGGGTCCAACGAACTCGGAACTAGTACGAATACGGCGGATTTAGCTGTAAAGAGACACATATCTTGGCTGCCTGGGACATTTGTATAAAGTTCTTACTCCGTACATGCCGTGTCTTGGAAGCCATTGGGACTAGGCTTCTACAATTCCATTTTGCGAGGCCATGGGAGTAAAATTTCAATACACAAGTGATCTTTACGCACTATACCCCCATAGGTACGTTGACTATAAGATTTGTGGATCGTGGCTTTTACCTAATGTTCGGTGTTTGGGTTTTCCGAGCCGTGCGCCCGATTTTAGGGTCGGACAATTCACAGCCTCAACTTCTCAAAAAGTACCCCATAGCCACCCAATATGGATAAAATATTGGCTCAGATGTAAATCACTCCACAAGTTACCAAGCGTTAGTCCAAAGTACCTTGACGATCACAAGTACGCCTACAACAGTACACTTGTAACCTCAAAAGCCGGTCAAAGTTCCTCCGACTTAAGGTTCCTCCGAACCAAGCAGGCGATGATGTCAGCGGAAGCTCGGACCTCGTGATGGCCGACCTCGGGATTTATGAGTAGCGACATTCATAATAACGCACACTTCAGTGTCCTGTGATCGAAGATATGTGGAGTTGAACATGCATTCTCCCAATATTGAATGGGTGATGTTGCGAGGTGTGCGAACCCAATCGGAGTAATTGGGATGTTTTAAGGTTCACGCTTCTTTGATGACCGCAGGCCGTCGGTCATCATATCGTTTTCTCCATCCGTGGTCTAGGCCGAATACTCTTCCAGTCACTATGCCCTTCAGTGTGAAGATCTGTATGATTATCCACATGATTACGAGCAGCAGCAAAAGAGCAGTGGAGAACACATCGAAGGCAGGAGAATCCATAAGCCTTCCAAATTCAACGGCAGCATTGGTGAAAGTACCCTGGAGAGATCGAAGGATTGTTAGCAACCCTCTCAAGAAAACCAGAGAAATAAGCATACGCACCCACGGAAAGACCACAGACCACACAGACATGGTGAACCGTGACTGTTTCCAGCCCCCAGGTTGTGTGTACAGGGTATAACAGATACTCAGCATAGCAAAGAACCACCAAAAGATACCGTACCCCCAGACAAGGAGACCAATGAAATGGCTGATGAAAGCAAAGGGATCAGCCGCCTTCGCAGTCAGCAGTTGACCGCGATCATATGCCGCGAAGCTACCGGCCTGAACAGCCTCGCCCAAAGCCTGGAGCGCGACCGAAGCCTGTCCGCAAGGGCCGCACATAATCATATCCTGGTATACCATGTCCGGTGTCTGGAATGGGCGACCGAAGTACTGAGCGAGTATAATGGTATCGAACGCAGCAACGAGGGCAAGGCCGATCCCGATTTCGAGGTAGGAGACGATGATAGCAGGGACCTGGAGGCGGGGACTGATACGCGCAACGCGACATATGACACCACCACCGGCGGCAGACGTCAATGCCGCAAGGAATGGCATCAAAGTGTCAGCCTGCATGTGTCGTTTGCCCGATTGCTGCATCTTGAGATGGACGAATGGGATCACCATACAGGCGAGTACGGCCATGCCGGTGTTTACCCACCAGAGGATGTAAATAGCCAGCCCAGCTGTGTCTCCGTATTTGAGGGCAGCCATCTGGAGGATGGAGGTGAAGGCGATGGATATGCAGCAGAGGCAGGATGTTTCGATGGTTTTGTTCCGAAGCTGGTGTAGGACATGTTTTGGGTGTAAGAATACTCGTAAGAGGTAGAGGATAAGGAATAAACCAAGCTGAACGATAGTGTAGATCCATACGATCGTGGCGAGGGTTTTCAACCCATTGAATTGGTATTTCAGTCGATAGAGTATCACAGCTATTATACCCGTTCCTTGAGGGATGATGAACCACAACGATGAGAAATTCCACAGGGCACGAGACAGCGGCCCCGCCGGTGGAGGAAGGCCTCCCTGATCTGACATGTGTTGTCTCTGTGAGATTCACCTCGCATTAGAGCGAGAGAGTAATCTGCAAATGTCTTGGATAGTATATATCGGGGAGTCTTGACGTCATTAGCTAAAGCTCGGAGCTATCTCCAAATCATACCCGTGGACAATTGCTTCATTTTGTAAAGATAACTTTTTTTTTGGATTTGATTAGAGCAATACTAATGTGAATATCAGATGCGGATGCTAGCAAATCGGGTAAGGCAGTAAGTTCGAGATGAGTTGTGCACAGATCCGGGGCCACTCTCATACCATAGAAAATATTAATTTCAAGACAAAAATCGTCAAAATCACCAGGGCCGACCGAATAAGAATACTCCCCCGAAACATATCCTTGATCCTTTGAAACCAGACGAGACAATTCACATCTCAGTGCTTTTTTCCCCCCCGAGAAGAACCCATAATTGCTGTAAGTCGCCGTAATCCGTGTAACGCCAGTTTTCCCTCTTCGTAATGCCCGTGTCCCGGCAAATATCCATGTAATTTCGTGAAAAGGACTTCTGGAGAAGCTACGAGCTTCCTGTGTCTTTCGTGGTGGTGTCTTCAGCGTAATAAGTGTGGGGGCGATAGTAGCCCGGCCCCGCTGGAGGATCTAATCAACAATAAAAGTTAGCGAGATTATTCGATCAAGAATACAACAGAACATACGACGTGACTCTAGATCCCTTCCACCCCAGGATATCTGCCTCAGACTTGCAAACCCTCGAGCTCGCACTTCGGCCATGTAGAGCTTCTGCTCGTAGCCTGGACTGAACGGGGTCTCTCCATCAGCGGGTTTGTAGTGTTTAAAGAGCGATGCTCCCAATGCAGTTATTGCGAGACAAGCGACGAGGACGATGACAATGATGGCTGCATTGGAGAGCCCCATTTCGAATAGAAGAAAGAAAGCTTAAGACTGGGGAAAAGTTGCGAAGGCAGTTTGGATTGTAAGAGGTGGGTCAGTGCATAGTGGAGGGGAGAGCCTCCGCGATGGATAGATGTCTTGCGATAGTGAGATGAAACGAGAAGGGGAATATGAAAGAAAAGATGGAAAAGCCTAAACTTACAAGTGATACCTCGGTGTATCTGATGTGTTGTCTTTATACGTGGAACGACCGCGACCGCCCCATTGGCCATGTTTTTGACACAATTCAACTGTGTCTGTCCAATTATTACAAGATTGTGTCGTGATGGAAAAATGCTAAAAATAGCTGATGGTTCACTATCGCCTTTATGGGTTTAGTTTAATGCTTGTCATCGAGACTAAACATGTACTTTATTGGTTTAAATGTGGAAGAGTTAGGAATATGTATATATACAAGTCAACTAGATACATAAAGTAATAGCAGCGAAAAGGAAAAGCCCAAGACAAAACAAAGACCGGTAGGCAGCAGCCAAGGGTATATAAAGTACCGAGGATCAGCACAGAAAGATTTAGCACATCCCCCCAAGGTTGTTTCAAAAGTTCGATTATTCAACAAGAATCTTAAGGTTATAGAGTTAACAGATCTTTCCAAGTTATGATTTAACAAGATAAGTCTCGTTCTCTTATTCTATGCGATATCTTCATGGAATATAAGCATTGTAGGTTGCACTTAAAAGGGTTTCGACTTGAAAACTTCTTTATTTAAGACAAAGGTCATCTGAGAAAATCAGCTGTGAATTTCAAACATCTTCAATATCAAACCGAAGGTTATATTCACACTGTTCTCCAGTATGGAATATGACAATACGTGAAATTCGTTTGACACCTTGACCATATGTACACAAGACAGTGGCTGCGACAACTTTACCAATGGGAGTACCAAGAATACCACAAAACTCAGGCGAAGGAGACTCCCAAGTTTGTGGCTCTTTGGGAAACCCAACCCTTTCTCGAGAGTAAATATAATCCCGAATAAAGGAGACAGTTTCCTTTTGAATAATAGTAGTAACAAAGACATACTTCAGACTTTCCAAGGGAAAATGCGACTCATAGATAGCCTTGGCAAACTCGGACATGTAAAAACTCGTGGGATCCTGTGATCTCCTGATATTATCCATGAATATCACGCCTGGTCCCGTTCGTCCAATCCAGTATGTCAACTCGCCTTTGATTCTAAGAACAGATTGGGATCGATAAACAGGTTCCCGAATGCTTGCTGGGACATCAACCATTAGGTCAAAAGTATCGGACAAGAGTGCCCAATCGTCTGTAAGGGACACTGGGTTAGAAACGACATGCCATAACTCAGAATCAATAGCTGATAAAGTAAGAGTAGTCTTAGAAATAGGACACTTGGGCTCATCGGCACACTCCATCCATAGCCGTAAGCTGTCTCCCTGTGGCTCAAACTCGGGGTATTTGAGAGCCATTGCAATGAAGTTGGCTGAAGTTGGCTATGAACTCACTAAATCTGCTGTGGCCAAGGGGCCCGCAAAGAATATGTAAATTTCCTATTCACTACTATGTAGGTCAAGTTTATTGAGAGATTGTTTGTGTTCTCGATAACACAATGTTATACGTTGTTTTCAGACTAAAATGATGCAGTGCATCGAGCCTTCTTATATAGTTTTATCCAGCTCAATACGACAACAAAGAGAAACAAAGAGCATAATCAATGCCATTGTGCAAAGTGGAATAATAGAGACCAAAAGGCTTAGAAAAGAGTAAAAATATAGGTTGAGATGCGCTCCTATGGAAGGAGGTACGAGAGAAGTCTCATACAGCTCTCTTCATCAAGTTGTCATATCCGACTTGAAACAATACTTGATCAAGAGAATTTGACGTGTATCTCATTGCCAGTTATCTCAAGATGGATGACGCTATATTTGATTCAGGGTAGTTTGTGGGGGCTTCAATCCTGCCTAGGTTCTCACGGATGTGTAGGAAGGTATCGTCTCGGTAGAAGTTGTAGATATCGGTTTCGCGTGCTATTCAACCCAGGAGGGTTGGTTCAGTCACCAGATAGACGTGTGGACCTTTCACCTCAGTTGTTGTGATCTTCTCGCGGAGGGTGGAGCCGGGGGGTTCGGACTGGTAACGATTGTGCGCACGATGGAGAATGATGACTGGGGTAGACATTGCCACAGAGCATCAGCCTGTGAGCGTTTCTAGACAGTCGTCAACCTGGAGACAGTGATAGATAACCCGGATAGATGGAGTGCTGCCGTACTGATGGCTGACAGGCGCTGCATGGTTAACCCACTGAGTAACTGTATATGACCACGAGCCTGGTCTTCTCATCTGGAGTGACAGTGACCAACCACCGTGGAGACACATCAATGTAATGGTCATCTTAAGGAGGAAGAAGTTGCCATTTCAGGATACCATCCACACAAGTTGGAAAGGTAGCTGGCATCAGATATGGCAAGCACAATGCCAACTCAAGTGAGAGATAGGCACCCCAAAGCCTGAGTGCATTGGGTTTGCTACGGCGAAAAAGCCATGGGATGTGACCAAGTTTCCCATATCTAGCAATGCACCGAATACAAGATCTTAGAGTCATGCGACACACATCAATATACCCCCCAAAGACCTGAAATTTTGACTAAATAGACTACGGCTGTGTACAATGTACGTGGCTAGGCCTGTCTTATATAGAAGGTATCTCTCAGATTCTCTACTGTGTAGTGCGAGTGCTGAAGCACAAATCTAAGTACTAAAACTAGATCCTGTAGAATCTTGGTCTTCTGAATAGCCGTTGGGTCCTTTTTCGGTAGCTCCTGCCATTGTAGATTGAATTGTCAATAGAATCAATAGTGGGGGGACAATACCTATTGTCTTACCCTTACCTCTTTTGGAAGTCGCGCCTTCCCATTCAATGGTCGAGACACAATGTGTCCATCGCTCCTTCCATTTGTGTACCTTCCATTTTGGGACCCAGGGTCACCAGGGATTCCTATAAATTCTCTTCTTCTCTCACTTTTCTCTTTCTTTCTTCTCTCTCTCTCTTTCCTCCCAAGTTACCAACACAGTTTTCAACAGCGCCTCCTGCGCTGTGACTCTTTCTGCTCCCCCCGCGTCCCCGGCCCTCGCCGGCGTTTATTTTACATTTTTATTTTAAAAAAGTAAGTAACAATCTTGGATCAAGTCCCCTTTCATATCACACTCCTTCCGTTGACTTGTGTTGACACATGCTGATACCTTTGTCTCTTTCCTATCCAGAAAAAAAAAATAAAAAAAAAACCATGTTGATTCCCTTCTTGGGTATCTTCGTGGGCATGACTCTCTGGAGTCAGTGGTTCCCCATCCCGGGGTTCACTGCTCCAGAGCAGTCGTTCATGCGGCGTCTGTCTGGTACATTCCAGCTGACAATGGAGTCTTGGGCTTTCGTTGACCTGGTCGATGCTGCAGCCTCCAAGGGCTGGCACGCTCCCCAGCGCGAGCATCCTGTACAGGAGTCGCGCTCTCACGTTAGCCATGGGTATTCAAACTCGACGGACTTCGTGGTTCTTAACCTTGGTACGGATATCATCGTCCGGCCTGGACTGGTCGATGATATGCCGCCCTGGTTTCCCACCCCGTTCCTGGTACCCATCCCAGTCTCGCTCTGGACAAGTGATGGAGTGACATCTTCTGTTCCCGAGGAAGATGTCGACATCGACTCACTTCTGCCGGGGCCTGGGCTTGGCTTCATTGCCAAGTTGTTGCTTGTCTGTGTTTGGTGGCTCTGTCAAGCCTCTTTGGTCTTGATTGCTTACGAACGGCAATTGTTCTCCGACATTGAAACCATGATGGAGGGGATTCTGAAGGTTTTCGAGGGCCAGCTGCAGATTGCACGTGTGCAATTTGTAGCCGAGGAGGATTCATCTTTTGACAAAAAGATGGATCTTCTGATCGCGGGCTCAGCGGAAACCGACGAAGAAGCTCTTTTGTGGGTCATGGCCGCAGACAGTTGTCCCGAATCTGTGTCTCATGTGTCGGTTCTCTCTCAGTCTGGAGGTATCTGGGTCCACCGGATCACCAAAGGCCTGGGAGATGAGCAGGCACCGGAGCCAGAATCGGAGTGCAATACCACCAAGCCGGCTAGCACTACTGATGACGTTCGCGAGAACTTGGTCTCTCGACACCCTTGGAACTCGATTGATCTCTACGCCTCCGACTCGGATGATTCTCCAGCCCCAGCTGTGAGTCTGACCGCCTCCGACCATGACGATTCTCCGGCCCCGGCTGAGAGTCTGACTGGAAACGGTGCTGACGGTCCTCCGGCTCCGGCTGAGAGTCTGACTAGCAACGGTGCGGAAGATGAGCGTCCTGATTCCACCCCGGCGTACTTCAGCAGAAAAAACCGTCCGTCGCAAGCAAAGAGACGTCGCGCTGCAAAGAGAGCACAACAGGAAAAGAAGGAACTTCAGCATTCTAATGTTTTAGCCTCTTACGCTTCCCGTGCTTCTCTTGCGATGCCTCCGAGCTCGACGCCTTTGTCGGCTTTGGCTCCGGTTTTTGTCCCTGGTCATCTGGCGGAGCAGGGTGATTCGCAGAGTGGTCCTCTTTCTCCGGCTCCCTTGTTCGCAAATGTGGGCATTGATCCTCCTACGGACTGTGGTACGACTTTGCTCGATGACAACGCTCTTCCCCAGCAGTCCCGCCGCCGTCGTCGCCGTCGACAGCATCATGCCTAGATGTCTCGATGGAGGTGGGACATGTATTAGCAACGAAAGTGCTGAGTGGGACACCTCGAAGGAACTCCTCTCTTCGGAGGGTTGTTTAGGTCCTTCTTGGCTGTCCTGCAGCTCTTTCGTTTGCCGATACAATGCTGTGTTGGAGTCGCGCGTCAAGCGTCCTCAGAAGCTTTTTGTGGGGGGTTGGGCTTGGAGACTGAGTTGACTGGCCAATATGCACCAAAAAAAAAAAAAAAAGAACCGAATACGGAATACAGAAAACAGAAAATCCAAAAAGAGAGAGAGCGAAAAAGTAAGAACAGAAGAGATCGCCCCCAAAAAAAAAGAAAAAAAAGTGGCTTTTCTCTCACTGCTCTCTCACTTCTCTCTCACTCACCTTCACCTGAGGTGAGAATCTCTCTTGCGACGTTCTTGTCTCACGCCGCGTTTGCTTCGCTTTTCCGTTGTCTGGGCTCTGGGATTTGCCCGTTTGATTTCTGTTCTTTGGGCCTCAGCCACGGCCACCCTTACGAAATATTCCCTCCCTGCACCTCATTATCCAATTGAGGTCCAGGGCTGTGACTTTTATCTCCAAAAGAAAAAGTCGCGTCGGTCAATCATTCTCCACGGCGAGTCGACTGCATACTCTCAGTTGACCATCTTACTCTTGTCTGTACCAACAATCAAACAAAGGATTCTTGTGCGATCGTGCTCTTCGTGTCCTCTTGGTCATCCTTCATTCCTTCGACCATCTTTTTACGGGACAGCAATCACTACGCCTGCTTGGTTCCATATTCCAACCACTTGGCTCCGAGGTCATTCTCATTTGCATCAATCGTTTAACCGACATGGAGACAACGTCAGTTCTTCCAAAAGGCCTTTGGGGGGAGGACCTGACTGGACAGAACTTCCCATTCTCTGCATCGGACATCCTCTGTCTTCTACACCAGCAAGCTTGGCACACCATCAGCCAACTATACACTTCTCCCATCATATCTGAGTGATATCTCGACTGGCGCATCATCTTGATGGGGATTTGCAATAAAACCCGCTTATGCATTCGATATTCTGTGCGGCGAACACAACTTGCCATCTTTTGCATCATACATCTCAGCACGCTTGGCAAAGAGGAAAAACGAAAAATGAGACTTCCACTGAGCTTACGGGACGACTTCAGCTGGACGAACATTGGGGGAGAAACCAAAATGATGCAACCCCAATCTACCATCATCACACATCTACCAGCCAACTCAAATCGAGCTTCTATTCACCGGGCTACCATGCAAGCCTTTACTAGGTCATGAACGCCATGACCATCAATCAGGACTTCGACTTCAATCATGCATCTACTCCAAATCAACTAAATATAAGTTGATCATCAATTCTGTTCTGATTAAATCATGCCAATTTCCCTCCAAGGCTTGTCGGACATGACCTCCCTTGGAAGATGAACCGTCATCAATGCTTTTGTACGTTGTACGGTTTCCGAGCAACTTACAAATCACAAAGTTGCACAACAACATGCTTATTAGCCAATTCAACTTATCTTCCGGCTTCTTCTTTTCTTTCCACAGACCTTAAAATAGGTCTTTGCTGGATGAGCCTCTGGAAGACCATGGGCATCTTTTCTGCCTCCACCGGAAATCCACATTCTTGATCCGTCAATTTTTCTCGAGGTTTGTTCTTCCTTCAGACCTTGGAATAGGTCTGTTCCGGACAGGCATATCAACCGGAATCACTTGCCACCTTCATCCTCGGGCAGCAAAAGAAGCGCCCTTGGTGAGAGACGATCAAAAACAAAAATTGCTTCTAAGAAAAGCTGGGAATTGTGGTATGTCATGGTCATCCCCATTTCATTTTCGGTTTGCTGACTATTAGGGCTTTTCCAGGACCCGTGACTTCTTCCATCGATTCATTCGTCCTCCCAGCGTTTCATTCCTTCAACCGGTTAAACTCCGGTCTTGGTGCATGGTCTACTGATCATTGTGGGATATTAAACATGGGACAGCCATGGTACAAGGGGATATTAAAACTGGGATGAACATGCATGTCATGTTTCGGGCGTTGTGCGGGTTCCTTGATTTTGTTTGTACAGATCCAGTCCAGAAGAACGGATCATTTTTTTGTTGTTTGAGTGATACCCCACAAAGCATAGCCTTCTTTGTTTATTTTTTACTGTTGCCACCTCGGTCAGTTTAATACTATTGTTTCGTTGCAATTAATGGTCTTGTAATCAGACCTGTTCAAGAGTAGCCTTGCCCCAATGATAGTATACTAAAAACAAAAAGGAAAGATGCAGCTGAGAGCTAGCAACTGATGGAATCAACAAAGGGTTTCGTCTCAGGGCTTCTCTATGTATATAGGAGTGACAGTGCATCATGTCAAATTAAGTAAAAATATGGGCTCATAAACCTCCAGAGAGGTGCTACCAAGAGGCAGTGGGTATGAAGGGAAGTATAGGCTTCAAGAATTTGGGATGATAATAGCAGGTGTTTTCATCGGGTCGAAAGGGCTGGGCTATATCCAATGGGGTGCTACTCGGTATATTAGAACTGCTACCCGTAATGGAAAAAATTATACTACCTACATAAATGGTAGTTATGTTGGTAGTATACTACCCAGTTCCACTTGATGGTTATCGTACAAGGTGCATTCTTTAGCGTGAGCAAACAACATATGACCGTTATATAGGGAACAAAGATTTGGCTTAATGATTTGATAGTTATCATAGTTAAATGGAATTCGACATATGGCGGAGAAAGCTACATGATATGGCACTTCCCCCTTCGCTTACGACCTCGCTCCTTGATTGTGTTATCATTCCAATCCTGAATACGCCGGCGCCATTCCTCGTTTGTGGGTGGCGGTAAGCTAGTGGGTTCGGTTGAAACCCGCCTGTGGAAAGACCGCTGCCTCTGTGGTATCTCATGCTCATCATCTGCTGCAGTGTCCTGTCCATCTTCATATGGCTGTGGGATGTGGAGAAGGTTTGGTGATGATACAGAGTATGGGAAGTAGGCGTCGCCCAGTGCATCGCCCAGTGCCGAGTCCCTCAAGTATGGGAGAGGCATGGTGTTCTCTTGAGGAGGCACTTGGGCTGGATATACAGCGACCGTAGGTGTGGTAGGTTGGATCGCTGGGTGTGAAGCAGGTCCATGGTGTCCTGGTGAGAGATCGTTTGTGAATGAGTCTTGGGGGACCAGTTGTTCTGAGTTAAAATCTCTGCCAATGGAATCTCCCCTGCGTCTGTAGTCTGTCATAGGAGCTAGGCTCTGTAAAGTGACCGAATGTGGGCGTGGGTGAATTGGTTGCTGTGTGAGACGAGCTGTTTCTTCTCTTTCATGCTGAAGGGCCGAATTGACGGCATTGACTGGGGAGAGAAGCATTCTCTGTAGATCATCTGGCAATGGGTCCACTGCTTCACGCTTGTAAGGAGGAGGTGGTGGCACCCAATTATCGGCGTCGCTCTCGTGGGGAATTTGTCGGGAGTTAGGGGAATTACGATATCGAGGGTCGTATCGCCCACGAGTTGATGCAGCCGCAGTGGCGGCTCGATGAAGAACTTCACTAGAACGAGGCTGCGTATTGTCATATGGAAGGTCAAGTATTTCCCCTCGAGAATTTCCATTTGGCGAGGTAGGAACTGCAAGACTGTTGCGGCGGAAGTGAAGCGGCAGAGCTCGGGATTCTCGAGTAACCGCTGAGCGACCAAGGCGCGAAAATGCTGTAGCAGTATCACCACGATGTAGTTGTGTTCGCCTTCGTTCAAGTTCAACTTCCGTGGCTAAAGAGGAGTCCGGCTCCATGAGAATCTTGGGTGTCATTTCTCCGACTTCGATATCAAGCTCAAGCGTTCCACCGTTCATAGTAGAGCGCTCAAAATCGAGGAGTAGGATTCGACCACCGTCAACTGGGATATCTTCTTCACCAAAGACTTGTGGGCGCACACCACCAGGCGCTACCGCGACGAGTCTCCGACGGCGCCTTGAGTCTGAGCGTACCCAATGAGCGGATGTTATCCCGTGCATTTCACTCACCCGCCGCCCTCGGATCAAGATCTTAGGTTGCTGAACAATCTTCTGAAGCTGTGCTAGATTGTCGCGAGGCGCGCGACCTCCATAATGATGACCACCACCAATTTGGGTACCAGTGATTTCACTAGCACCCAAGCCAGGCATCCCATATATCCATAGTTCTGAATCTTGAAACCCAAAGGCAGAAAGCTCTCCCTCGTCATCCGTGGCGGGTCTCATGCTTGGCCGCATTTCCCGAGACTCATCCGTGAAGAATGGACTAGCAAAATAAACGATTCCCGCATTATTGTTCAATTGAAGCGCCCTAAACGCGCCCAATTGTGTGTCATAGCCCATAACCCAATGATCTTCACCTTCTCCATGACCAGCAATAAGGGAGGCGTGGGTGATATGGCAACCGATTGTTTCAGGAAAGAGTATTTGTGTTGTCCACATTCGCATCTCGAGTTCTTCGGGTGAGGCGTCCGTTCCGGTCTCAGTATAGAACGGAGGAGTAATGGTGACGATACCTTCAGCCGTGAAGCCAAGAAGCATCGCTCCATCAGGCGAAAATGAAAGTGCATCGACACGGAGACAACGCACCGCCCGACGGTCGGTTGGTAAAGCCTCTTCCCCCACAGCGTATACCTCAATACTATCCTCAAAGGCCAAGGCTAGTACACTACCTGCCGGAGAGAATTTGATGTCTCTTGGAGCATCGTTTAGTGTGATAACTTGGATATGCTTGGCTTCATCATCAGAAAGCTGGTAGATATGAACTCGATGTGTGGAAGACAAAACAGCAATGAGAGAGCCATCATTACGTATCGTAGCTCCCAGTGGCCGCCTTCGAGTCTTAAGTTCGTGCTTGACGACGATTCGGTCGGTGGCCACGTCTAGTATAGCAATGCGAGAAGAACTGATGCAGAGAAGAAGTTGACCATTCGCTGAAAATGAAAATCGAAAAACCTCGCCGTGTGGGAATGCCGTAGACGAGCTCATAGAACTTGAAATTAATCGCACAAGTGTTTGCTGGGGCCGTAAAAATGCATCAAAGGCGTTCTGCCTGACCTCTTTGATAAATTGGCGCTTGAGTTTAATAAGGTTTTCTGCCTCAGAAATGACCCCACGAGCCCAAGAAAATGATGGACATTGTGACAACTGATAGGCATATAATGCTGCGGAATCGGATGCATGCTTCCATCTTCGATTTAACAGAGATAATGATGCAAATGTATTGGCATCAGAAGCATATAATATCCTATTAACTCAGTAAGCATTGTAGTCAATGACCGATCATAAGGCCACATGTCGAACACGAGATTACGATTGCCAGATAGAAACTTACTGCTCAAGCACATTAAGTGGTAGCCGGTCAAACGTAGTATTTGAACTGGGCGCAGAAGAGCTTTGGACTAAAGAGTCTTCGTAGAGGGAGGTATCCTCCATGATCACCGCTTTGTACCTACATACGACGGATAAGGTACGACATTGTTGAAAAGAAGATGGTCTTGTGGCTGTGCAGTTTCTCGCCCCATGAGGCAATGCGGGACAGTGTTAATGAATCAACTCCATGCCGATCGCCTACATTGTCCAAGTCCCAAAAAGATAAAAATAGAAAGTGCCTTAGGCAGAAATTTGGTCAGCAATTTTAATTTCACGTGCGGATGAGTCAACATTCCCCACATGTCCGATGGATCCCATGGAATGCCCGCAGTCGCAATTTTTGATAAGAAAATGAGATCGCCGGATTTTGATATCTGGGGAGACCTTGTACACGATGTGTTTGTAGGTTTGGCCTAATTTCACTAGCCATTGAGAGCTCCTCATTTCATTCTCGCCTTCTCCCTATCTTTGCAGTTGTGTTCATACCCCTCACTCTGTCTAACCGCTAATCGGCCGACTCCGAAAACACCCCGACCAAGTTCTCCAAATCAGCAATCTTTTGCTTCCCCTGTATTAGCAATCGGCATAACTCCCTTACAATTGGGAGTGCATCATGTCACCTGCACCAGCCCAAGTCAATTCCTCCTCCAAGCTCCCATCACCCGGATTCAACGCCGGCGCCCGACCCTACCGTTCCCACAAGGTCCGCGCCTGTGACTTATGTCGCAAGCGCAAATCCCGATGTACCGTTGATATTCCTGGTCAATCCTGTCTTCTTTGTCGCGTGCAAGGTGCCGACTGTCATTATCAAGAGGAGGCAAATGCGGACACTTCAATCTTGAGTGCCCCGGATTCAAAATCCTGGCCGGGGCCTCCAGTGATGGACGCCGTGCCTGGGCAGAAGCGTAAGCGCAGTTCCGATGAACTAGCCCACTTAGGCCAGAATATCCCGCCCCGCCAGCCGATCAATGGACCCAGTCCCCATGGAACGACTTCATCGGGTGGCCGTCGGGGAAGTGACCCGCGGCGGAAAGATATGGACGATCATCAGAATGAATCAGTTCTCATTGTTGGTCCTATGGTCGCTGAAGATGCTCAAGTCATTGAAAAACACATGCCCCCAGAGCGGACGAGTCTCTCGGAAGAGCCCAAGAGTCATCCGTATAATATCTATTCTAGCGATCCGCGGAAACCGGTCCTTTATACCACAATCTCGCGGCGAAGGAAAGGTATGCGGAAAGGAACACCTCCTGGTGAGAACCAGAAGGAGGTCCTCGAGCAAATACTGGGGCCTTTTAAACATGATCTAGTGAGACTGTATGTTGACTGTTACCCCCGCCCAAAAACTCCTCCACCCTGCTGATATTTTCTCCTCTAGCTTCATTGATCGTTTTAACGTTTCTTTTCCGATCTTTGACGGGGAATCGTTCTGGGAATCATACATCGCCGAAGACCTGCATGACCCACCAGCTGCACTAGTGTGTCAAGTCTATTCCATGTCCCTCGTATATTGGAAACACACCCAAAAACTTGCGTGTCATCCGAAGCCTGACGTTCGATATGCCATCAACATGACCGTCGCCGCATTACATGAGGAATTTTCAGCTCCCGGGTTGGACACAATCAGCGCCGCGCTTATTGACCTGACTGGACGACCCATTTTCTCCATGACTGGCAACGCTGTCAGCTGTGGCCGCATGTTATCTCTGGCAAACTGCCTTGGTTTGAACCGTGATCCTAGCAATTGGAAGCTCTCACAAGCAGAAAAAAACCAGCGGATTCGTCTGTGGTGGGGAGTTGTGATTCACGATCGTTGGTAAGATTGTTCCGTTTTTCTTTCGGCTTGCAATAAAACCTGACAATAAATAGGGGGAGCTTTGGTCATGGTGTCCCACCTCAGATTTCCAAAAATCAATACGACGTGCCTTTACCCACCGTGGACGTATTGGTCCCATCAAACCTCCGTACTACAGAGCGTGTGAGAGCAGCACACTGCCACATCTACCTATGCCGATTAACCGAGACCTTGGGCGAGCTATTACCTCTTGTCTACGGGTTGCAACACAAACCCCCACGCGAGACATCAAAGAAGCTCAGACAAATACGAACAGATCTAGATATATGGGAAGACTCCCTACCAGACTGGTTGAGAGGCCCCACGATTCACACCGGAGAACGAATCTATGGAGCAAGCAGCTTGCAACTGGCTTTCTTAGCTGTCAAAATGCTTGTCAGTCGGGTTGAACTAAATGTAAGCTGAAGATGGGGAAAACTGAAAAGAGTGATCATTAACAACCTTGCAGGAAGTCAACAACTCCGAAACAGAAAACACCGAGGCACGTCGCTATTTCCAAACGGAATGTAGAAAGTCAGCAGAGGAGATTGTTGGATTCATAACCTCTTTGCGAAAGGGAAATTTCACAGAGTTCTGGCTACCCTGTATGTTGAAGCATCCTCTCTGGTCATTTACTTTTCCCCCCCCTAATTCTTTTGACAGATAGCGCCTTTCACCTCACGTCAACGGCAACATTGCTGGTTCGTTGTGCGTTTGAGACCACTGACAGCGAAGTTGCTCGATCCTGTCTTTCCAATGTCGAAACATTGCGCTCAGTCTTGCGTCGTGTGCGGGAAGAAGAAGACTGGGATGTAGCAGACATGTGCCTGGATCACTGCGAACGCATTATGCACCGGCTTCCCGGAACTGGTGCCACCATGGACCAGGCATTCACAACCACGATGGCAGACAGCGGGCTGGTCAACCCGGCCGCGATATCGCTGCCTGAGACGCAGACAAATAACGATATCGTCGACGACATGATGTCAATATCTAATACTTTTGGAACAATGGACGGTTTCCCCTTTGACATGACAGGAATATGGGATGTCTCCGTCTTCCAAGATGTGAACCTGACGTGATCAGATTATTGGACATATTTACTTTTATATTCTTATTTCAACAATATACCCTGGGATCCAAAGCCCAACGACCTTGATATCAGTTCAATCTCAGTCTTTTTCATATTAAAATTTCCGACTAAAATTTTGTACAAAAAAACAAACAAATCCCCAAACGCTATTTTACACTCGTTCATTAATTACCAGAACGAACCCCTGATGATCTTCTAGACAGGGAAAAAAAAAAGTAATTGGCTCGCGCCAGTTACTAGTTCTTGGAGCCACCGAACATGCCAGTGAAGGAGCCCTTCATGCTCTGCATCTGCTCCTGGCGGGCCTTCTCCTCTTCAGCTGCCATCTCAGCGAGCCACTTCTCGCCGTTGGCGCGAATCTCCGACTCGATCATCTCGTAATTCTTTTGACCACGCTCGCGGATCTGATCCCAGAGCATTTTGCCCTGAGCCAGACCCTCGGAGGGTGTCTGCTCACCGTTCAGGGTGGCAGAAGACTTCAAGCCAAGTGCAGCAGCAAAGTTGCCGAGACCACGCGAGGGCTTCTTCTTCTGCTCCTCGGCAAGCTCCTTCTCAAAGCGCTCACGCATAGCCTTCTCGCGCTTGGCAAATTCAACGGGAATGGGAGTGCCATCGAACGACTTCAGCACGGTACGCACGTCTTCGACGCCCATACCAGCAAGGTATTCCAGGAAGGGGATGAGGGCAACCAGTGTCTTATCTTTCGGGTCTCCGGTCCACTTGTCCAAAACAATGGCATTCTCAGGCTGGTAGCGGGCGTGCTCTTCCTTGGTGTCGATGAGAATAACCTTGGAAAGGTCACGGTTGAGGTATTGCAAATCCTAGAAGAAAATTAGCACTCTATGACTCGAAGGGGGAAAACAGAAGTTGGCATACCTTGATGTATTCTCCATCCTTGTATCGAGTCGCCTCGCGGAACAAGGGCCAGCGGATGATGCGGTAAGGGTCGAGTTTGCGTAGGACTTGGTCGGCCATCATACTGGGCACACTGGTGAACAAAACGAGCTCATAGTATTGGTTGAGGTAGCGGAGGAAGTAGTCGACACCAGGTCGCTTGGCAACCCGCCATCCGTGCTCCCGGGTCCATTCGCTGTGAACAAGGAGATCCTCCAGACTGAGCACCAGGGTGTATGGCTGACGCATCTCGGCGTCCTCATCCGGAAGCAGCTTGGGGAAAGCAGGGTCCTTGTAGTAGCTGGTGAGATCGCTGGTGCGGGCCTTGATACGGTTGTACCACAGACCGGGACTCCATCCAGATGGGATCTCAGGGTGTTGGCGCTCCTCCTCTTCGGTTTCCCAGTTGCGACCTAGGTATCCCATACCAGCAACACCAGCAAGCAGCATGGCTGCGTATACTATATTGGCCATACGGGCCTTGCGGCGGTCGATAGATGTCTCATATCCGCCTTTGGGGATGTCACCACCTCCTCTACCATCCGTACCGTACTCTTCTGACTGGGTAGGGTCTTCTGTGAGGTTCAATGGTCCCTTTTTCATACGACCTTCCAATTCAGCGGCCAGCGTCGACGGAATACCTTGTGTCAGATCGGGGAGAGGCGTCTGTGGGGCTTGTTCGACCTAGAAAGACAACGTCAGAGGGGGTTTGCTTTCTGTAAAAAAGTAACAGGGAAGTCTTACTGGTTCGGAAGGTTGTGTAGGCTCAGCTTTTGTATCAAACTCAGGTTGCTC